TCGAAGAAAACGCTACCATAGCCTAAGCGTAATCCTAACCCTAACCCTACCCCATTAAATGTTTTCTCTTCCATGAACAATATCGATAAAATATTAAGAAGCGATTCGGCATTTCTCCATATTTAAGGTTTGTTTGTTATTTTAACGATATTCCTCTTGGAAGAAACACACTGAAGATGGAGAAATTCTGAATTGTGTCTGACAGACCGACCCAGCGAGGGTAGGCAGACTAAAATGATGATTAGGTTAGGGGTAGTTTAGGTTAGGTTGTGTTGAGTTAAGTTAGATTAGGTTGTATTGCGTTAAGGTAGGTTAAGATAATATTAGGTAATGTTAGCGTTATTTTACTTTCTTCTCTGTACAACTTTTATTTTGCATTTTGACTTAGGCTTCAATTGTTGTCCTTCTTAATAAATAAAAACGTTCTAATGCTGAATCTTAAATGTAAATCGGGCCGTGGATTCATTGTAATCCTGGACAACTATTATCAATCATCGATCGCTGGAAGTGGAAATAGGACAGCGGGGAGAAGAAAGGAGAACAAGGTACGGCGAATTTCAAACCACGGATCGTAAAACAGTATAGCTATGGATTTTGAGCAAAACCATAGAAAAAAGTTTCTTATTTACATGTTTCACAAGGTGGAAATGTTCTTAATATTTTTTCTGAATAAAAATTGTACCGCTTCCATGATGAAACATATGATCTCAAAGTGATCATTTCAATCACGTGCTGCATATTCAAAACATGTGTATGATCATTATTTTCATTAGACTCTGTACTTGTGGCTTTGTATTAGCCTGTTCCTGATTTTTTTAAAACTATCCTTAGAAAATGAATGAGTTAGCGCTTTCGTATTAGTTTATGAGGGGAGAGAATCTCTGTGAAGATTTCACTATGGGCGTGGGATAGCTTTCAAACAGGTAGCGGGAGAAATGTTCAGAGCTCAATTAATGCAATTCCAACTTTCATTTTACACTTCTGTCACTTTCACGATCGATTTTAATTTTCTTTCTCGAAATACTGTTTACAAACGGTTGGGAAAATTTTCGATTCCTGGTTGCCTATAGGAGGGCCGGTTTCAAAACGCGACCAGGGATTCGGGAGACGAGGCGCGCGTATTGTGGCAATAGTCACTTTCGAAATGGATCTTAAATCTGATTAAAAAAAGGCTATGAGTAAACATCAAAACATTTTTTTTTGATTATTGCGAAAAGGTCTGTGTGTGTTTCAAGTTAGGTACTTAGCTTTGAACTTTAGAATATAACACTGTCAGTGGACAGCATTAGTTTCTTCAGGCTGAGTTTTATCAGTAAATTACATAAAATAAACACTATCTATAACTATTTTTTTAAAGTACGATTTAAAGTAGTTGGTTATTTGGTCGTTACTGATCATTTTAATAAACCTAACCCTCTCTGGTTGGCCTGTTAAACGCGTTTCAGTAGGTAGGTCATTGGCAGCGGGGGTAGCAGACCTACATGATCGGTAACGACAAAATACAAGTTCACTTTCTTCGCAGAACCACGAAGAGATCTCACAATTAATTGTATTGTCGGTTATAAGTCCATGCACTTTACTTAGAGGACACTGGGCGTCTGAGAAGTCGCTTCGGGGCTAAATTCGGACGTTAAAGATCCTCATCTTGGGTCTCAACATCCATAAGTAAAGATGGGAACACGTGTACTTGTAGTTATATCACCAGTGATTGTGCTACGAGGTGCCTTCTGTAATTTAGGTAGGGGGTTAATAGAATGCCTTTGGCTTTGGAAGCGAAGTTGTGGTCAATTTTTTTTTGTGGTCACTTGTTTTCAAGGACCGAATTTCTCGGTCAAACCTTTTGCGATTCAAACGTATAATAGTAATTTTGTCAAAAATATCGAATAAATCTTTTTATGCTTACGTACTCGTCTCATGTACCAATTGTTTAAAATTTTTAGCGTATATGCTCCCTGGGCTGGTTTGTCAGACGCGATTCGACATTTCTCCATCTTCAGTGGTTGGTTTGTCTTGTTATTTTATCAACGTTCCCTTTAAAGAGACACGGAAGTTAACGAAATGCCTACTAATGGGTTAGGTTATTAGGGTTATTCCAAGTCATCTTCAACGACCTTATTTATATTTTAATCATATTGATAACATTGAACTCTACTCTTTTCGTTTTGGTTTGGTTTAAGTTTGGTCGTTACCGATTATTTTGGTGTGTCTATCCTTGGGATGGCATTTTGCCATCTTCAGTGAGCCGTTTGGAACAGGCAAGTTGATAAAATAACAAACAAACCAACAATTGAGATGGAAAAAGGTTAGTTTAATTATGTTTCGGGTTAGGGCTAGTTTTTCCAAGTCATCTTCAAAGTCCTTGTTTACATCTGACGACAGATAGAATATTGGATAATATTCTATTCTAAATGTGGTCATCATCGATCATTTTGGCCTGTCAGACACCTTTCAGCATTTTATCATCTTCGGTATGTCCCTTGCAATATTGTTAAAATAGCAAAGAAATCAACCACTAAAGATGCAAACATGAAAAATCGCGACTGACAGACCGAATCAGCGAGGGTTGTCAGACTAAAATGATCGTTAGGTTAGGTTAGGCTTAGGCTAAGTTAGCTATTTCGTCAAAAAATTGTATAATTTCAATTGGCTAATGGAAACGAAATGTATACTCATTCACATCCTTCACGCTCGTGGACACAAAACGCAAACCAAAATCAATTAATATGCTAACTTAAATAATTAATTTTTAATGCCTTGGTAACAAAAATGAACAGAATTTTAATTCTTGGCAAGATGTGTCCTTTTTAAGACTTAAATAACATAGTATATAAAAACTTTTGTTATGAGGATTTTTCAACTGCGAGGTTATATGAACCCTCGAGGTGCTTGTGTTTTTGAAAAACCCATTTGCAAGTATGTCCGGTTCGAATTCAGGGCCGCTGGTTCGAACAGGGTACCTTTACCTTACAGTGATGAGCGCCTTGTCAGCGGCTAAACCACTGACGCCCCTACAATAAAAACGTCCAAAATAAATAGAAGAAAGGTTGAAGAAAGTTGTTCTTGTTGTAGTATGTTGTTGAAGAAAACATAAATATAAAACCTTAACCTGATTTAACCTTATCCTAACCTATCATAACCCAGCACAACTTAATCTAAACTAACCATAATCTAACGATAATTTTGGTTTGCCTACCCTCGCAGGGTCAGTCCGTCAGAAGCGTTTCAAAATTTCTCCCATCTTCCGTGTGCCTCTTCCAAGGGAAAATCGATAAAATAAGAAACCAATAAACTGAAGATATATATTAAGGAACATCTTGTATGACAAGATCACTAACTTAACCTAACCCTAATCCAAACTGTAATTTTACCTGACTCTAGTCCTAACTCTAATCCTACATAACCTATTCTAAACTAACCCCAACCTAACGACATTTTGTTCTGCCAGCCCTCGCTGGGGCTGTCTGTCAGACGCGATTCGGCATTCCTCCATCTTTACTTGACGGTTTATTGTTATTTTATCGGTATTGCCCTTAGAAGGGACACGCTGAAGATGACGAGAGAGAGATGAGAGAGAGAGAGAGAGAGAGAGAGAGAGAGGAGTACCATTGGATTTTCTTGATTATTTTCGTATTAAAATATAAGCATGGACTTTGAAGATGGCTTGGAAATACTACCCCTATCCCTACGCCTAACTAACCTAACCAAAACCAACCCATGTCCTCTCGTTAGCTCAATTTCTCAATTTTGTCTAAAGAATCTAATAAATTCATTTATCACATTATTATGAATAAATTTAAGAAATCCTTTTGCCTTGGTACATTTACGTCTCACGTACCTATTACTTTAACATGTTTAAAAATATTAGGGCATATAAGTTTGTCAGAGAGTTTTATTCAATGTGATGCTCTTTCAATATCAAAATTTAAACAAAGTCTTTGAACTCATGGAAAAACTAAACATAACCTAAACTAATTCAACACAACCTAACCTTACCATTCCATTACACAATGCTATCTGAATTTTGCCAATATGACTTTATTATGATGTAAAGAACGTACTAAACATACGATAAAGTGTTTCTATAAACTTTAAATTAGTTAGAACAAATAATACATAGAAATAAGTAAACAAACCTAGGCCTAAACATGACTCTAACCTAAAATAACCCAACCCAACCTGTTTCTAACCTTAACTCTACCTAGTCTAAACTAGCCTAACCAAACCATGCACTCTCCAGTAATGTATGACGCGAAAATGCTTACGTTAAAAAACTGTGTATCCAGCTCAAAACTATAACCGTGTTAGGCGTATTTCTGTTGCTTCATTTCCATTATGGCAACATTTGAAGCTAAGTTCGCCTAGCAGTAGTGGGCCTTACTTGCATGTAAACTTACGAAAACTTGAAAACTTGAGTCGGCGCAGAAGAAATTCCAAAGGTTGGTGACCTCGTCTCTGAGTCAGTCGAAATTAGGTAACTAGGCACAATTTATATTGTCTTTTAAAATACGATTTACTCCAAATTCTTAGGCGAGAAAAATAATTGTTGAACAAATATTTTTGAATTTTTAAAAAAAGGTGAATTCATTATAATGAATGCATTTTTGTAAGTGAGATTTGACAAATTGTTTGTAAATTTAACCGTATTTCTTATAAACGTACTTTTAAAAAACAGGAAAGCTATTTCGAGCGTAATTTTATTTGTCAAGCACATTCTGATCTGGCACATATACCTCGACGCAAGGAATCCGTAACTTGTTTGTACAATTTCCTGAGTTTCTTTTTCTAAAACCGGCTATCTCGCCGATGCGATGGCACAAAACAGTTACTTACTCGGTTGTATTTTCCACAGTCCAGTTCCCCTACTAACCTGACTTCCTCCTTGTCAACTACATTTTCTAACATTGCGTTATAAAATTAATAACAGACCTCCGAGTCAACTTTCTGAAACGAAATCACTATAGTGCGAGTTGTCAATTGTCAATTTTCTTCACGTTTTACAGCCCTTCCGGGCGGACCGTCCCGGTGCAGAGGACTCAGCTACCAAACCTGGTGGAGTTACCATACTAAGAAGGCACTTATCAAGACTGTCTTAACAACAGCCAAATGAGAGGTGAGTGATTTGTTTATGGTCTAGTTTTTTTTTCCGACGTACTTCAGCCTTAATAAATAAATAGTTTAATTTAATGTTTTTATTCAGTGTGGTATTCTAATAGTTTTGCTTTAAGGTTTGGACCTAACCCTAACTCTCACCTAACCTCAACCTCACCTCAAAAACATATCTATGTTAAAAACCCATACTTAATCAACTAACGGCACCGGCACACGCAATGCCATTTGAATCTTGCAAAAATAGGACATAAATAACGTAGCAAATAACCTTACCTTAACTCTAACTCTCACCTAACCTAACTCAACTATGTTAAAAAAATTCAAACCGGAGTTTGAAACACATCTTTTGTTTTCTAGGAAGTGATTATGGCGATATTTCGTTTATTTAATCCGTTCATTGCGATCGTAAAATTAATCAATTCCATTTAGTCATACAGGAAGATCGACTGAATAATTTCTGATTTAATATGTACCATCTTGCCCCATGACCAAAAAGGAGCGTTTCATTTGACATACACTGAAAATCAGACAAGATATCGGTAGTTTCGCAGAATGTAAATCTTTGTAAGGTTTAAGGAGACCCTTTACCATGACTCAAGATATGCTTGATCAACCTATCCAAACAAATCGTCATTTTTATCAAGGCACCAACGAAACCGAGATTATTGAAAAGATACGCGAACTCAGCCATTTTATTTAAAGATAATGCTAACCATCACAAGCAAAAAAGTAATCATTATATCAAGATGAAGGTTGGAAACGTCGGAACCGTTGATTATAAAAGGTCGTTTAAAAACGTGTCTTATCCATCTAACGTTAAGGTCAAAACATTACTACATTACTTTCTCTGACGTTGGCCGCGAAGTCTGAAACTTTATCCACAGTTTCTCCAAGCGAGACGTCCCTTCTGTCCAATTTCTTTTCCTTTTTTCTCTCAAACTCGAAGTTGGGCACAGACAAATTGCGACGAGTAAAATTCCAAGGATAGGAATTCCAAATGAGGTTTGGCAATCCTCAGCGACCTGACATTTGGAATGCTCAGGAGGTCGAACTTTGCAAATGTTGAACGTTGCTCAAACGCGCCGAACCAAGGAAAAGCTCACGGTTCAAGGAGTTTCAAAAGCATTCATCTTACAACTTCACCGCATACAATAAGATAATTTATTGTTAAGAATGATTTCTAACTTTTAACTTATTCTTTACCCATTACAACGAACCTGTTAACAGCAAACAAAAGCAGTTGTAAAAACCGTTTGTCAAATAAATGTTTATCATACAACTTGACCTTATTTATCTGTGTACGTTCCATGTGAATCTGAATAAATATGTTCGATTACAAGCAGTGCAGTAATTCTATTTTTGAATTGAACGTTGAAATAACGTTCATAGAATTTTCGTTTGTGAAGTTACAATTTTAAGCAGTTTGTTAAGTAGTTAAGTTGGTTCTGTCATCAGCCGACTTATTATCGCCCAAGTTAATGGAATGTCCTTGGGTACAGTAGTATCGAGCTGTGGTCGATTTTTGAGACATCATTTTTCAGAGGCCGAATTTTTCGGTCAAAGGTTTGACATGCATAAAATAGCATTTGCGATTCAAAAATATATATGTAATTTTGTCAACAAACCAATAAATCTTTTTGCCTTACCAATTTTTAACTTAATCCACCAAAGGCACCAGCACATGCTATGCCTTCTGAATCTTCTTGCCAAGATGTGACCAAATTAGGACTCAAAGAACGTAGTAAATAACTTAACCTAACAACCCAACCCTACCTAATCTAATCATTCCCAACCCTAATCCTAGCCTAACTCAACCTAACAAACTAACTCTACCCTAATAAAAAGCCTTTAACTTAGCTGTTATTTTGTCAAAAAAAATCTAATCAATCTTTTTTCCCCTATATTATTCTCTCATATACATACTGTTTTAACATGTTTAAAATTTTTTAGCGCATGTAAGCTATTAGAGAATATATTCAATGTAATTTCTCTCTATTTTAAAATTTAAACAAGCTCTTTGAAGATTTCGTGAAAAAATAACCTAAACATTCGTTACCCTAACTTTACCTTGCCTGCCACACTAAAGAAATTGGTGTATCCAACCCAAAAACATACCCATGTTAACAAAAACCCAGACTTAATCCAATAAAGACACTGACACTCACAGGCCATCTAACCCATACCAAGATGCGATCTTATTAGGACTTAGATTACATAATAAATAACCTAACCCTAACCTAAGCGATTACGCTAAAATAATCACACAAAAAATTGTGTATTGAGCCCAAAAACATATCCATGTTAAACAAGTTAAAATTTACGTTTGTTTTACATTTGTTGTTTCCTTGGAAGTAATTATAGCGATATTTCATTTATTCAATCATTTCCATTGAAATCCTAACCTAATAAAAAGCCTTAAACATAATAGCCTTAAAATATAGCAGTATTTTTTCAAAATAATTTACTAGTAAATCTATATGCCTACATTATTGTATTATTTGATAATATGTTTACAAAATTTTAGAGGATGTAACTTAGAAAAGAGTATTATTATTAAGATATCTTGGAAAAATTAACCCAACACTAATCTTACCGAACCTAACCATTTACAAACTAATCTAACCTAACCCTACTAATCTAGCCATTCCTAACCTAACCCAAACATATCCTTATTAATAAAGCCAGACTTAATCAACCATCTGAATCTTGCCAATATGTCCTTTTTAGTACTTAAAGAAGATAGTAAATATACCGTAAAGTATATAGAAACATTTAAATTAATCAGAACGAAGGTTGAATAGTGTGATGAGTAAAAATACTCTAACCTAACCCTACCTAACCTATATTGTTGATTAAAAAATTTATAAACTTAATTTAAACTAGAATTAGCTTCATTTAAATACTTTTAAATCCTCAGATCAAAAATTGTATTATTTGACTGGTCAGCATGATAATATCACTGATGTGATCAAGCAAAAAATCCTCTCATTTATTAAAAAAAATTGAAATAGTTTAGATCTTATTATAAAATTGTATTGATAATTATAGTTTTTTAAAATTATTTCATTAATTTATTGACATGATGATGATGAAGACTAGAAAGTGAGGTTTTTGTTCATCAAGCACTGCAGCCTTCTGGCTTACTGTAATTCCTTCTTCCTTAGTTGAGCCTTCTCCTAAGAAGTACTAGGTCATTGAGTGTCATTGCTACTTAAACCCTTTCCCTGGATTTTCCTTGTATCCCAGGTTAAGCCCCCATTGTGTGGTTGCTTCGCATTGGAAGATGATATGGGTGGCTGTTTCTTACTTCTCATTGCATCACCTTCAAATGCGATTATCGTTGAATATGTTGTTTAGGTTCTCAGATGCCAGTGACCAGTGTAGCAGTGAGTTTGCCAATCTTTTAGCATAAGCTTACTGTGTCTAGCAGCTGTAAGAGTTTATTTACTTCTTTTGTGTGTATGGTAACATTACGAAATGAAGAGTTCTATGTTTTTGTTATCCCAAGGTTCAGGTCTATATATGTCTTGCAGAACATCCTCTGGCCAAAGTGTCTATGCTCCCCTGAGTTCTTCCTCTCCTTTAAATCTGTTGGGACTTTATAGGATGTTGTGAAGAGTGTTTACAAGATCATGCAATCAATCCCCATTTCTAGGAATGGGTGTCTGAGTTTTATGGTAGGTTTAGCAGAGTATCTAGTGCAATTGAAGGGGTTGTTTCCATTACTCCTGTGATTCATAGGTTGGCCAATCTTTGCAAGATGCGTAATGTTGGATAGCTTGTCTTTGCTGAGCTTTGGTCTCCTGATTAGCCATGGGATAAGTTGGATCTTATTACTTCTGTATGAGCCATTTTTTAATTTAGTCCCCAAGATTTGCCTGGTGTTCTTCTTGTTGTCATTAGTGATATTTTACTTTTTGTTATGATACTTGCATGATGATGATGGAAGAAACATAAAATTCCATTGGAGGCGATGAGTATGCTGAATAGTACCCTTAATATAAACTAAAAACCAAATTTTCCTCTAAATCTTTCAAGTGTTATAGAAAACAATAAAGAAGAAAGAATAAGGTAAAAGGTAAGCAACCTTTAGTATAAAATTAATGCACTGAACAATCAAGTGTCCTAATGAGAACATTCATTGATTTCACAAAAACGTACTTTTAAACTTTCCAAATAATTTTCTCAAACTTTAAATTGGAAAGTTTTAGAAATCTGGACCCCGATTCATTATTTAAAAAGTTATGGTTAAATTGCAAGAATTCTATTTCTTAGCTCTCACTTTTTATTGGATTTTATTTATTTATTCAAACTTCTCTGTATACCAACGGAATATGACAGTTGTAAGACAACTCAAAATAATTTGGGTGTTCTTTTAAAGTTATTACAAAATTGAATGAAATGTTTATTTTCTTATTTTAATTTGGATCCTTCTTTAAATAAACTTCACAGCATTTGTTACATTCTTTATTTCACATTTGGAAGGCCTTCTTGAGTTCCTCTGAACTGTCCTTCAGCTTAAGCAGTTTTTTTAATCATTTCTTTTGAAGCCTAGAAAGAGAATCTTTAGAAAGGATTTTTTGAAAAAATTCAGAAGAGTTTGAAAAGGCCTTTATAAAGTGAAATAAACATTTTAAAGATAATTTAAGCCATAAAAAAATGCTTAAAAAATATGCTTAACTATTTGCTTGCTATTTAACTTATCTTTTTAATAGATATATTTGACAAATTATTATCTTTTTCAGATTTTTGTTTTAAGTGAGAATCAGAGATATGCCAATGAAGAATGGGGAATTCTGGTTCTGGGCAGGGTATAGTTGACGATTCCATTCCCTCTCCAATAGTGGGAGGAGGGCCAGGAAGAAACAAATCCAAAGTACTACCAGATCTAACTCCTGCCCTTAGATTGCGGCAAACGGACAACGGTGCTATTTTGCACAATGGAGGGACCATATCTACAAGAAAACAAGTATGTTTTTTACAACCAGATCAAACAAAATTTTACAGTTTCAACGATTTTCAGGAGAGGCAGAAACAGTCTTTCGATAACAATCACCATATAGAAATTAAAAGAGATTTTTATGGAAGTGAACCCGATTTGAGGTACCAAGGAAGGTTGGCAAATTTTAATAATGACAGCCCCTCAAAAATCCGAATTTCAAGATCACGGAAGAAATATAAAGCACCTACAGTACCAAACAACAACAACAACATCCCTGTAAGTAAACCAACAGGGTCATAAAACAATATAAAATAATTTTATCAAAATTCCTATTCAGGGTGACAGCTCATCGCCAGATTCGTTTCAAGAATGGGAGAATTCAATGAATGGCCAACCTTCTAGAAGACTAAGACTTTTTAAAACAAGAGCAGAAACAAGGAAAAAAATCGCCGAGCATAATCTTCACTCTTTAAATAGCTACTTGCCAGCAGCTGGAACATTGCAAAGGAGTTTATCTACGCCCCAATTTCATGTATACATTTATGACCTTTCAATGTATAACCCAGTATTAATAATTTTATTGTCATACAGGCTGAGTTGTTGGAAGCTGCTGAAAAACTGAAACCTGTCCGAGAGCCTCCAGTTGGCAAAACAAATGAGAGTCCTTCGACTTCGCCAGTGGGCGGATACCAATCTTTGGACAGTGGAAGAGAAAGATTTTCCTATGGGAGAACTTACGAAAATACTGGACCACAGTATGCAAGTCCTTTCCCGCAAGGAAGGAATCAAAAAGCAAAACATGAAATTTGCAATGAAAGAGATTCTCCATCTCAAGAATTGTGGAAGTAAGTTTCAGTAAAGTTAGCCAACATTTTAAATGAAAGAAAATACACACATAATAAATTATAATGCATGTTTATATTATGCAATTACAAAATTTTAATATCCCAGTTTCCACATGTTGATTTGAACTTGATACAAACTTCAATGCTGAAATTAAAAAGGGTTCATTTGAATTTTAAAAAAATGCTAATTTGGTACAAAAAAGGGTTCATTTGAATTTTAAAAAAAAATGCTAATTTGGTACAAAAAAGGGTTCATTTGTTATATAGATTCATTTGTTAATTTGATTAAAAAACTGTAAAAAATTAATATTAACTTACTACATACTTATATTAATAATAATAAATAATACAACTTGCAAAAATATCACTATTTTCAGCAATCCACCCACGAAACCTCAAGCCCCGGTGAAAACGTTTTATTTTGGTATGAATGAAAATGGAGAAATAAACGAAAGTTCTGCTTTGGATAAGTTTGCTGAGAAAATTCACCATTTGTCTCAATTGCCAATGGATTCCAACAGTTCTCAATGTTCTGCAGAAATATTTGAAGAAATAATGTCAAACGAGGTAATCGTGTAAATACAATGTTTGCTGTGTACTTATTAAATTGACTTTTTAAATAATAGAATAATGGAGGAATTTCTGTTCAATTGAGAGCTACTTTACCAAGAAAACAATTGGATATTCCTCGATTTTCACCAACAACTGCCTGGAGATTACTGTCCAACATAGATTCACCAGCTCCTAGTGAAGAAGACGATCTGGTTCAATTCGAGCATAGATTACTAGCTCCTCCACTACCTGTTCATGTTCCAGTACAGATGGATAAATCTGCCGACTCTGGAATTTCTGGCGATGCTAGTCCTCAACACCATGATTCGATTCATAACTCTCAAGTAATATTAAACTACAGTAAATCTATCGTTATAGAAATTAATACTTTTTTACTGGTAATTTACAGGCAGCATGGACACCGCAGCAAGATTTGGAAGAAACAAGTTCAGATGGGGGATTTCCATGTCAGCCAATATCTCCTGATCAATGTTCAACAGCTAAATATTCGCCAAGGTTTACCCTTTCATTACCAAGGGATGACAGGATAAAATTATATGGCAACAATGACAAGGCAATACTATTTAAATCTTGCTTGAACTGGATTAACTGAAAAATTTATTTTGGTTTAATTTTTTTACATTACAGGGAGATGAAGTAGGTCAATCCTCGATTGATAATAAAAAAATGAGACGTTCTGGTTCAGGAGTGTTTGGGAAAGTTGGTTTGGAAAAGGAGGAAAATATAGTTGAGCAAGCACCATTATTAGACAGTAACTGGGTATTGAGTCGAAGTGTACCGAATTCGTTGAATTATACAAATGTGAGTCTATCACGATGGAATGACAATCCCAACATTGCTGATGTTGTATGTATCATGAATTTTTTTATGTTAAATAGTCATTTATGTGTTGTTATATCATGTATGTTATATAGGAGGAAGAGTTAACATCGTCCTTGATCAAACAACCATCGTTTTCATACCTTCAAACTGGTGGGCACATCATGTATCTCCCTGAGTACACTAAACCAAGGTATCATGCTAAAATAATTTATGAAACTTAAAATTAAATCTATCTTATAAACTGTTACAGAGAACCTTGTGAGCCAAGTGATTTTCAAGTTATGTCACATCAAACAATGTCGAAATCATGCGAAGATCTCAGTAGGGGAATAAGTGATGAACCAGCCTCATTGAATACATCTGAATCATTAGAGCCTCCAAAAATTAAAAAAGGCAAGAAATTCACATTTCAAAGTACGGTGCGACAAATCGAACGTAAACGCCTTGCAGAAAAACTTTCAAAACAGGTTGAACACAAAGGTTTGTTTTGCAATTTCTCGATTGCAATATCAAATGAATTACATTAATAAAAGAAATTTGCATTGCAGAAAAAGAAAGAAAAAGTGAGTTAGAAGCAATGAGGAAAGTTGAAGAAGAGTTTCAACGGAAGAGAGAAAGAGAAAAAGCCGATATTAGGCAACAATTAAGATTATATACAATCTCGCAAAATAGTAAAAATAATACATCTACCGATCTACCTACAACTCAAGTACTCTCAGAATTCCGTCAGCAGCAAAGGGAATATAAAGAATATAGACCTCAGAGGTGATTAACCATTTAATTTTAAACATTTATAATATTTTAAACATAACCATTTTATGTCAGGCGGTCATTAAGCGAGATGGAGAGTATGCTCAACAATGAACCAAATACAAAAAGAGCAACAGTTCATCCTAAAATAGTTTGCCAAATACCAAAAAGTACACAAGTTTATGTTACGCCGAGGATATCAGGACAAACAGGTACAGTAAAAATAAATAACATGCTTTACTTTCTGTAATTTTTTTTTGGTATATTAAAATTATTTTTATTATTGACTCAGGATCAGCAAATCTGGACTGCACTGAACAAGTCGTCGCACAGACACCAACTTCAGACAATTATAGGAAGAATTTTGCTCAAGGCGGTTTGCCCAATTCATTGACAAGTACAGAGTCAGAAATATCGGCTGGACATTCTTCTCGAACTCGGTATGAATGTTCTTTCAATCAATGCAAATATTTAAATTAGGCAAGACATTTTATATTTAAATGAATGCATATAAAATTTTTTTCTTACATGATCTCATAGTCCTTGATGCATGGTCACAGGGTGGTGAGCCATTATCTTGCTTTAACTCAATTTTGTAGAATTCGTTTTGTCACACTAATAATAATGTACTTTTTAACTTCACCTAATTTGGTCATTATCAAACAGTTTGTTTTGCCTATCCTCACTGGGTTTGTATATTTCTAGGTTAAGTATGTTGATTTTGCATACTTTTCAAATCATGTGGTGGTATTAAGGTTGTTAGTGTTTGTAATTTGGTCGTATCTCATCATTTCTGTCGATCTATAAAATAATGACCAAACTACAGGATCTCCACCCTTCAGATTACATGGGGAAATCTCACAATTTGTTGTTGTATTTGTGTTTGTGGTAGTTTTGTGTGATGCATAATTTGATTTTTTAAATTATTTATATTTCTGTATCTTCATTGTTAATAAAATGTCTAGGAAATGAAGGTACACATAAACAATTTTTTAATTTACTAATAACAATAATTTTAAGACAGAATTAGGAAAACCAATGATCAATTGATCAATTATACAGTCGAACTTCTTTGTAGTGGCCACTTGTAGTTACCACGTTACCGCTAGATGCCACTACCACTTATGGAATGTTTCGCCCTCCACTCTGCAGCCAGTCAGAGTAGAGCCCTTCCAAATATAAACAGGCGCACTGCCCCACTAAATCCAGACTCGTCAGCCTGACGAAATCTCACCCATCACAAATCAACAATGACCGCAGACTGGTCAACCCGACGAACTCTCACAAATCACTAATGGAACACTGTTGACGACAGCGACGTTACAGCTAGCTAGGTTAGGACAGTTTAGTTTAGGTAGTGTTAGGGATGAGTTAGGTTAGATCAGTTTAATTTAGGAAGGGTTAGAGTCGGTAAGATTAGATCAACTGTACAACTGAGGTTACCACCAGGGGTGAGATTGGAAGGCATAAAAGCCCCTCCCGCAGTCACATATTTGGAACTCAAGGTAACCCCTGAGATGCACAACAAGCCTATTATATAACAAGCTTATTATAATAAGATGTGGCAATGATGAAAGCAGTTGGCCAACCCACATGGATGTCTCCTATAGAAGCAGAAGAACACACTATAGAGTTTTATGCAAATTGTCTTTCTTTATACAGCCCCAGCGTAGATGAGGAAACTTACCACTGTTGGGTGGAAGTCTCTAGAGTGGGCTCAGTGTGCGGCCCTGCTAGCAGTAACTCAGGCTTATTGGACAATGTCCACCGATGCCCTTTTGGTATTAGCAGGAAGTTCCCCATAATGCGAGTGCCGCGACTAGGAAACGGCCGACCTATTGTATATTCCTCAGATGTGGCATTGATGTGTACGCATGCGTTAAGTGGTTATATGAAATAACCGAGCAGAGTACAACAATGGAAGCATAAAAAAAGGCATGAATACAAAAAGAAACTCCCTAGCCACAAGGAAGCTATGGAGGAGTATTATAAAGCACAAAAGCTGGCCAACCTGAGGCAGACGCATTTGGCTTTTGTTACAATTATTTTCGAAATCCTAATATTGCTATCAAGTATTTTAGCCATCGTTATTATTAGAAATGGTATTATTGAATTATATATTTATGTATATATTTATACATTAATATATATTTATTCTTAGTAAAACACTTAAATTATGTATTCGCTTGGACAAATAAATAACAAGCATTTAATATCTCACCCCTAGATCCCAAATGGATGCTGCCTCTTGGACCATCCTGGTCAAACATACAGTGTGACAAAGTTTTAGTGGGGGCTGAGATGGACACTGCCAAGAAAGCAACCCCTGTGAAAACCTAAAAAAGAGCCAAGATGTGAAGATAAGGAATCAGTGGGCTAGGTTAGGTCAGTTTAGTATAGGAGAAGGGCTACGGACTGGTTAGGTTAGGTCAGTTTAGTTTAGGAGAAGGGCTACGGACTGGTTAGGTTAGGTCAGTTTAGTTTAGGAGAAGGGCTATGGACTGGTTAGGTTAGGTCAGTTTAGTTTATGAATGGTCAGGGATGGGTTAGTTTAAATCAGTTTAGTTTAGGAAGGGCTAGGGATGGGGTAGTTTAGATCGTTTTAGTTTAAGAAGGGTTACTTTAGATCAGTTTAGTTTAGGAAAGGCTAGGAACGTGTTAGTTCAGGTCAGTTTGGTTTAGGATGGGTAAGGTTAGGTCAGTTTAGTTATAAATGGTCAGGGTAAAACAGTAACGAGTTTAGATCAGTTTAGTTTTAGAAAGAGTTAGGTTAGGTCAGTTTGGTTTAGGAAGGGCTAGGAATGTGTTAGTTCAGGTCAGTTTGGTTTAGGATTGGTAAGGTTAGGTCAGTTTAGTTATAAATGGTCAGGGTAAAACAGTAACGAGTTTAAATCAGTTTAGTTTTAGAAAGAGTTAGGTTAGGGCAGTTTGGTTTAGGAATGGCCAGAGACAGATTATTTTAGCGTTCTGATGAATCCAATTTGGCCTGGGTATTTCTCAGATTTTTCCTATGTCAGAAAACTTCCAGGATGAGAAGATGTAAGGCAAATAAAATAAGAAGTATCAAAAAGTAGAACGCATAAGTATGGAACACAGCTAGTGGGCTCAGTTTTTCAATCTCTGAAAGACGTAAGAAAAAAAACATGTTCTGGGGTATGAAACTACACAAGGGAGATAGTTCAAAGGTTCAATAATCAAATCTTTATATATAATACAAAAAATGCAAGCCCATCGAGGATAGTCAAGCCAGGGTGATGGGTAAAGATCAAATCGCAAATTCATCATCACAAACCACAGGAGGAAATTTCAATTTAATTTTTCTTATTAAATTCAATTCTTTGTTTTACTCGTTTATGCATGTTAGAGCTTGCATTAAATGCAAAATTTCTATGTAATAGTGATAATTTAAGTAATTAGTTTATTGTGCAAAAGCTGTTAAATTGCACATAGTTTTGGTTCTGTTACCCATCTGGATATTTTGTTCATTCATTTTCTAAAAAATTTTCTTTCATATGCATGAATAAAACTAACTATAAAAATATTTCAGCACTTCAAAATAATATTTCATTGAGCTTAAAATGAATATTTTTTATCGTCTGTACTTGTAAATAGTTTCTTGTAGCTGATAATTTTAATTGCATTGAATAATTTTTCCTTAAAAAATCATCATCCTAATTCAGTTTCGACCAATTTCATCTAGTTTGGTGGTGGACTTTGTGCACACAAAACGTCTCCTGTCTGCCTTATTTTTTTAACTGTGATGATTGTAGTAATTACTATTTTATTTTTTGACTATAAACGACGATCAACAAAATAACAAATAGAGAATTATTTTTGGAACCGTTTTATATTTTTAAGGGGTTCAAGGGTTTTGATTTCTTTATAACTTGTTTTTAATATATAAAAAACCCTGTATAACATTATGTCTATTGTGTATCTATAGTATTTTGGTGTAGTAATAATATGTGTTTTGTTTAATTGAATGTATTGTATATAAATATAATTTACATAGGAAAGAATTTAGTATGCTAATTACTAACATGGTGTGTTTGTGTGGTGGTTATTAGGTCAGGCTTAGCAGTAACGAATGTTAAGTTATCTAGTCAACTCATACCATGAAACCTACAAATATATTGCAGCCAAACAAGGTTTGTATTTTTACGGCCTTTAGTGAATGTAGTCATATGTTAAGTCATTCTTTAACTACGCAACATTAAAATTTAATAACAAAAGTGATTACGTTTTGAAATAAAAATGTACACATTACAAAGTCAAATAATGTAAAATCATTCAAACGAAAAAATTTAGATCAGATATATTTAATGATTTATTGAGCTTGATTGTTGTTTGAAATTAGTCAAAAATAAACACATAATTCAATTTTACTTTTGATGAACTGACATCGAAATGTAATCCATTCTTTCAGAGACATTATGTCTTCTAGGCAAAAAGAGAGCAGATATGCAATGGAGGAAGAAGAAAGTATTATTAGTTTAGAAAGACCCAAGATTTCACTTGGAATAACAGAGACTAAGACAATTATAATAGCTCAAGAAAAAAAAACACCAGGAATTTTCCGAAAAGATGTCGAAGAATCGTTTCAATTTGAACAGCAGGTGAGGAATTAGTTTACATTACAAAAAGCCACTTAGGTTTATTTTGTTTTTGTTTTCAGGATCAACAGGTGCCATCAAATGTTCCTTTGCTCGGAGTAAGTGCCCTACAACCATTTGTTAAGGGCAAAACGTATAAACCAATATCATTTAACCCAAGTAGGAATCAAGTTGCTCAATTTGCAAATTAAATTAAAATTGTAAATAATTTATATCTAAAGCTTGTTTTTTGTTTTTATTTTGTATCATATGTTGGTTTTGTAAACTAAAATTTTATAATAAAAGTACTAACAGAAATGTTTAATACTACCTCAAAATCTTTTACTTTTCATTTTAAAAAAAATGATTTTTGGAAAAAGTAGATATTTACTCAAATTAAACAGTTTTTGGTCTTCCTTGCTGATTTGAGCAATTGGATGCATTTCAGCATTTCACGATCTGCAGTATTGGCCCTTTTTTGTATTAAGTTAAGCCAGACCTGAAAGCTAAATCATCCTTTGTGTTACAGCACTTGAAATTATATTTATCAAATTTTTTGTTTTTTGTAAAAAAAAAAGATCTGAAACAACCAAATTACAGGCTTACCATTTAATCATAACTCATCTTCCATTTCTAGGATTATATATATACAACTTAAATAATTATATTGCCAATTTGTATAAAATAATTTAAAAACGTCCACTACATACTAAAGAGCAGACCCATTATCAGGAAAGTGCATTGAAATTTTTTTGAATGATAGCTGTCCTCCTTTGTTAAACGAATAGTTTGCTTTTGATAGACTTCTGATTCAGGATTTATACAAGCTCAGGTTTACTAATTTATAATTTATTTTATACTACTTATAAGCTATGATTTACTCGGCTATGCACATGGATGTACATAAATGCGTGCACAGAGTTGATCCTATCACTTCTCGCAGTCCACTGGCCATTCCAGCTGTTGTGCAATTTACAATAAATTACCGACAGGCCTTGAGTGTCATCCACGCCAGGTGTTGGAAGTCTGGGTCACATCTAAGTCTTACTTGTCCAACCACTTTGATTGGACTATGAGTGCTGTGAATAGCTAGGTAATTTCAGCCCCAATGCAATCCGTTTCTAAATTCAAACCCACTCTCTTAAAATCATTCTTTCTTATTTACATACTATTCACTAAGGGTGAGAACTTGATGGTCCTCCACACATATAAGTAATCTAATTGAGAGTCAATGGGATGTTCAATATTCCACCATCAGTCTATTTTCACATCCACCCTAATAAATTCATTTAGTCTCAATACACCCAAAGAAACAAAAGATGAAATATCCACAAAACAAATACAGTAAAAAAACTCGCTGCCAAGCTCAAGTGCAATTCTCATAACGGGTGGCAATCCCATGTTCTCTCTATATGCCAAAGAAACTCTTCAATTAAGTGGGACATATTGACCAACATTTCTCTATTTGAAGGACACATACATGGTCTTTGGACCAAAAGTAAGTCTCCGTGTGTCAACCTCGCATGGTTTATTTGTAATCAGTTGTGGATAAACCCTCTTCTATGTTTCATTTCCTACAAAAGAGAACGTTCATTTTTGTGTTAAAGTGGGATTAGTAAATTCTCATATAATGTTATACTGCAGTCATAATATCCATTAGCTCTCAGACACTTTCATGCTAATAAATACTTTCCTTCTCAATATAAACAAAATAAGATTATCTATATATGACAATTAATTGGTCAAACGGACCACGAAAGTAGTGAATTAATTATCTATATATACTAAAAAAAAAAAAAAAAAATCTGAACAGGGGAACCAAATACTAAATGCTGTGCTCTCATTTTCATATCAGTGGTACTCCTGCACGCTCTCTATGTACAGCCTTGGTATACATATACACATGGGCCTTGCCTCAAAAGTAAGCGTTCCATGTGTAAACCTCGCATGACCTTAATTGGGTGGGGATGAACCCTCTCCTACAAGTCAGATCTTCTGAGGGCCACTATCGACATTGCTTTTGATAGATGAGAGTTTCTCTAACATCGATGGTGCCACTTTCTTTTAATCGTGTTATTTATTTTTAGCATCAGAGGGCTGGAACGAGGTAGTTAAGTCCGGAGGTTGGGACGTCTTGTCTTTAGCTGTGTCGTCTGCCTTTTTTTACCCACAAGACCTATATATCCAGGACCCAGACAACCATCACTGTTTAAAATCTATTCTTAAGTAACAAAGATACTAATTATGATGTAGTATCTCTGTCAATCATGTTAAATTATTCCAAAAATAATGTGACGTTAAAGACAATCGATGTGACCAAGTTTGTTAGCGATAAAACGACAAAAGACTTTTCATAATAATTTTTATTGCACAGTAGAAATCCACATTCATAAGCTTACAGTTTCAGGTTCTACACCTTTCCCAATTGCTGATGACAAAAGTAACATTTGTGTGAAGTAAGCAAACCATATTTACACGCCAAAAAAATTACATAGGAATGTGAACATTGAATGCATGATCACCAATATATTATTATGTTGTCTATGTATAAAGAAATAGATATAAAGAGAAATGGATATTTTAGACATAAAAAAAATTATCAACATATCACCCAGAAATTTTATTTGTGCAAATTAATCAAAAATAATGACAAAAACAGATTCAACAATATTGTTTAACACCAATAAAATTAAATGCGAATAATAAAATAGACTATGAAATGATCTGCATATGAGATATTGTAATGATTTAATAACAATCAAACAAGTTTCAGATTGTTTTTTACTCTAACAAAAACAATTTAATTTTTTTTCTTGATTTAATATAACCTTATCAATAGAAACAGAAGTAACGAGAAAGACTTGCTAAACACAGCACATAAACAAAAAACGAACATAAATGGTAACTATAATGAAAATAGTACTTACAGTTTGTTTTACCTTGCAATGGTAACTGAAAAATGTAATTCTTCATGAAGAATACAACATTTTCTTATTAAATCAGTATTCATTTGTTATTTTTTTCATGTTTCATCTTCTTTAATAAATTTGGTTCGAAAAATGCTTTAAAAAAAAAATTGCACAAGTTACTCAGTTTACACCTTAAATCCGCTAATTGTCAATGTTCGAAAGTTTATCATTCTAAAGTGCTGTGGAATGAAATCAATGATTCTGGGATATTGTCAGCCTTCTTCATCCTTAAAAATTTTGCTTCTGTTATAAAACCACTTTCAAACAAAACTTTTGTCAGCGTCTTAAAGTTAAAAGATGGATCACTGGCATCCATTTCATTGAGCATTTCTCCAAATTTCAGAGATTCTACTAGGTGAGTTGTCAATAACTGGGTTGAGTCATTATTAACAGACTGGAAGTATAATTTCATATGACTGACCTGAAAAAGAACAATATTGAAAAAAAAAAATTGAAAAAAAAAATATATAAAAGATTCAACGTAAACTATTATCAATTATTCAACATATACGTACAGAAAGCAGCAGACCAAAATGATCAGAAAAACCAAGATAAAGGTGGCTTTAAAAAAGCACATTGTTGAAAATGTTTAGATCTGAACTAATCTATTTAAAAAAAATCCAGGAATGGTCGCTAATGAAATTTTCTCTCATAAAAATTTTGTTTTGTACTTTTTTAAACTTTCTTTTAATAATTGATAACTGTGTTCACCCGAGAATTTTTCTGTTTCTGTAAGATAGCCATTCACAGTGCAACCTACTGTACTACTAAAAGTGCTACTGGGAATTGAATTGCTCAACGAAGAACAAAAATTGTTGATGCACTGTGGAAAAAATCACATGAGCTGGTTAGGTTAGAATTAGAGTTAATAATAGTAATTTAGTTAGGGTGAGGGTAGGGAATCAGGATAAGCTGTGTTAGGGTTAGGGTTAGAGAGGGGGTTACTTAGGATAGGCCAAGTTAAAGTTAGGATTAGGGACGGGTTAATAAGGCTAGGGTAACGGATGGATTAGTTAGGATAGGTCAAGTTAGGGTTAGAGATGGGTTTGTTAGGTTAGGTTAGGGTTAGAAATGGGTTTGCTAGGGTCAGGTTAGTAAGTTACTGTTAGGGATGGGTTAATTGCAATAGGGACAGATTAGTTAGGTTAGAGTTAGGTTAGTTAGGATAGATAGAGTTAAGGTTTGTGTTAGAGACATGTTTGTTAGGTTAGGGTTAGGGACGGGTTAGGTTACATACCCATGATTCATCTGCTAAGTGGTGAAAATTTGTGTGTATGATGCAAGATTTTTCAATAAAGTGATTCAAATAAAAACTTATCAATGAAGTATTTGTGCATTTATAAAGTAATAATTCATCACTAATATAAAATAAATATATAATTAAGTGAAATCCAGTGTAAATATTTAATTTGGTCAAGCGGACCAGGAAACCTAATAAAAATTAAATATTTAACAATAATGCAGAACAACATAAAAAATTAAAAATTATAATACTATTACTTAAAAAAGACCAGTGACATTAAATCTTACTTGCAACCTATATGACTGTTAGAATGCGGACCAATTGTGTTAATCCTTTTAGTAAAATAAATTGAAAAAAGTCAAACTCTGATAAAAGTTGTTATAGTTTTATATACCTCAATATTTTGGAGGAGTTCTTCACTGAATGATATTAAATGAGGAATATCAGAACATAAACATATCCAAATGGTGAATATGAAATCATTATTGTAATTTTCCATCACAAATTCTGTCAGTCTCTGAAAAAAGTAGAAAATTATATTTAAAAAACTAACAATAATAAAAAATCCCTACTTCGCTATTTAATGGTGGTGTGATAATTTCTTTGCAACACTGGTATTTCATAAAACTCGCTAAAGGAAGCAAACTCTTTAACAGCAACAAAATTCCATCAGTTCTTTCTTCATCGCTAGAATAAGGATTAATAATTCAATGTTTAATAATTGCAAATAATTCCAACCCTATTATTTTAACAACCTTATATCAGATGAAACAAAGGATGTGTACAGTTCAAGCATTTCCTTAGGATCTGTCGACTTCTTTAAATCTGTCGATAATGTTGAGAAATCGATTTTAAGTTTTGTTTTATCCGTGGAACATTTATTATCTTCTAAACTGTCAGACTTTTCAGTCTCAGCGAGCCCATAATCATAAGAACAAGAATCTTCTTCACTAAATGATTCAGATGGAAATATCTCCTGGAAAATCAAAAAATAATTTTGTCCTCAAAACTTTCGCCTACCAAATGTCTCCGATTTTTTCTGATAATAGAAAGCTGATAACTTTGAAACGATTCCACTGATCAACAGGAAATTTAAATGCCTTTAGAGCAAAAGCCTTTTTTTCTAAGATACAAGTAATGGCACAAACTTCACTTTCGTAAATAAATCAAAAGTGGAGATATAAAATAAAATGTTTAGGAACTTGTTTATTTCATCCTTATTTTTCTCACTTATAATGACATAAAATCTCAACATTATTGTTATAGACTCAAACAAAAGAAATAAAGCTTTCAACGGTTATGAATTTTTAGTCATGAATTTTTTAAGTGGAAGGCTAGACAGTGTCAAGAAAAAATTGGCCACAGCTAATCAAACCGAAAAATGTCTATTTTTTACTATTACTAATTCATGTTTTAGTCTTTAAAGGGTGCTTAAAACAGATCCAAATTGTTTTTTATTCTCAAATACAATTGTTTTTTAGCCTACTTTATCTAATCTCATTTAATACGATCTTGCATTTTCTTATCCAAGGTAAAAAAAAAAAAAAAAAAAAAAAAAAAAAAAAAAAAAAAAAAAAAAAAAAAAAANTTAATCACAGATTGGTATCAAAAACCAAGAAACACAGATCGCTCTTCAACTTTACATCTCACCATCCTCTTCATACAATAATAAACACGGCCAAAGGGTCTTCACAGAATGATTACCCTAAACCATGAATCATTTCACCACAAGAACATAAAGATGTACAAACAGATCCTCCATAACAATCTCTACCCTACACACATAATTAACAGAATAATCAACAATACAACTCAACACTAACACCATTCACTATTATTAATAATACTACATTAAGTCTATCAAATACAAACAAACCGGCATACATTTCCATGCCATTTATTCAAGGCCTATCACATAAATTAAACAAATTTCTCTCATCCGATAACTTCAAAATAGCTTTCAAAAACTATACAACAATTCAAACACTTTTTTCCAAATTAAAGATCCCACACCAATATCAAATAAATCTGATGTAATCTACAAGTTCACTAATTTCGTGGTCCGCTTGACCAATTAAACTACACAATTAATTAAGATTTTTAGTTGAGATGAAAAAAACTCATAAGGTGGGGTTGAGATGGGGAGATGATGTCCGAGTGGATCGAGGTCACGATAGCTCAGGTGGTAGAGCAGCGGCGTATCAAGCCGAAGGTCGTGGGTTCGAATCCCTCTCGTGCCATTAGCTTTTTTTCATCTCAACTAAAAACCTTAATTAATTGTATAGTAATCTACAAGATCAACTGTTTAAACTGTCCGGCAACTTACATCGGTCTTACATCCCAATATCTGGACAAGAGAGTAAAGCAACATAACTATGATTGCAAAAAACCCAAGCAAAATCCTACAGCACTCGCTACCCACCATTTTGAACACAAACACAATTTTGACTTCAAAAATCCAAAAATATTACGCACAGAACAAAACAAACATAAACGTAATTTTTTAGAAATGGTTTACGTCAATAGAGATAAACACAGCATCAATTACAGAACAGATACATGTAAACTCAGTCGCAGCTACGCCAATATCATTAATCAAATTCAATATAGATAACATACATATATTATCACATCACATTCCACACATCAAATATTTTTCACATGGTCTAATTTTCCAACAATTTAGCTTTCCTTTTCCTATTTATCCCTTTCTATATAATCCTGAAAAGATAATCTGGCCAAACCATTACCAACGTTTTTTCCCTTCGTCGGCTCTTTTCACCTCAAAGAAGCCGATGCCTTATACAAAAATGTCTTTTCTATACCAACTTCCTTCCCCACCCCTTCAAAATCCAACGTATATAAACATAAAATAGCAATATCTCACTGGCACTCTCAACACGACACGCAAGAATGGCACAATTACACAGAAGACAAACACTTTGAGTGAGTAGAAATACTTTGATTGCATATAAAAGAAAAAAAAAATATTTTGCATTGCATAAATTCACTTCTTTCCACATCCTACATGTATTTGTTAAATGTAAACAATGTTTGTAAATCCCAGGCCCTAAAGATGATCTCAATAAAGATCGAAACGTTGGCACAATAAAGAAAATGTTTTTCTGAAACCTACATCACACCAGACCGCATCTCACGATTTCTGAATAATTATCGATTAACGGTCACTAATCAACACACATTAGAAAAAATGTAAATTGATTTTTTTCTGTAGGCTCTTCATAGCACATTGGCAAGAATGCTCGGAGAAATGTCTAATATTTTTTGGCCTAGTATTATCAAGAAACAATGCACAGACCAAACCGCTGGATCAAAAGGGCTGAAATTCTGGCAGTGAATTCCTATAATGTCACGGATAGCCACTAAGAAAGGATTTTTTGAATTTCCAACCCTAAGGGGATCCTAGGCTTCGGTTGGCTGTTGGCGCTGGGTGGCCCTTCACCCTTGGCGGCCTCAGGCCTCTGGTCCTGCTCTCCCAATTCTCCCCAATCACCACAAAACATGGCTAGTGAGCAAATCTCGACCCCCCCCCCCAAAAAAAAAAACCTAAGGGGATCATATAGACAATTTTTTACTATGTATAGATTGAAGTTAAATGAAGAAGAGAAGAATTTTTTAGAAACGAGACATTATATTAGAAAGCCATACTAGCACTCTGCATCGCATTAGAAATGTACGTTAAAACAAAGTCATGGTTGTATGAAGTTGCGGGTAAAAGCTAGTCAACTATAAATGCACACCTTTTATAAATGCATATTTCTTTATTTTATAAGGGAATTACAACTTCGAGGTATTGAACCCTAGGGATGCTGGTGTTTTCGAAAAAAAAAAAAAAAACATTTCTAATAGAAATAGCTCAGTGATCATGCCTTTTTGGTACAATAAAACCAATGCCTGAACTCTTCTCAACTGTAGACTAGCTAACGAAAAGTTTGACAAGGAAATGGAAAATGCCTCAATGAAATTTATTATTTGAAAGAATAAGTGTGATATTGGGGCTGCGGTGGCCGAATGGTTACGGTATCCGACTTGTGTTTACTTGAGAATAATAGAAAAATTGTAAAGTCCCCCTTGTCCGCAATACCCAATGAGATATCAAGTGTGACAGGAATTTACATATTTTAATCAATAAGTGCGATAAAAAAAATGATCAAACCTAAAAAGGCCAAATTTAAATATGATTCATTATTACAAATTATTGCAATGATCACCTTATCTGAGAACTCAATTTCCTCTTCTTCCCAATCATTCGCTGAAAAAGAATTGCTCTCGGGATTCTCTGCGCCAATCTCTAGTATACGGCGCATTATAATATCAAATCTGAAAAATTGCACAAAAATTTAAGTACGATTTAGAAAAATGAAAACACTTGTTTTCACAAAAATTAACGAGTACTTAAATCTTTACTTTGTTGGGTGTTTTTTAGGTAACGAGCAAATTATGAACTCAAGAGGAAGAGCAATCCCTGATATTTTGTAAAACTTCTTTATTTCTTCTTTAGACACGGATGGGCATAAAATGCAATCAATCAGTAATTCCATGTTAGTCTCTTCATTTTTAGAATGTTCTAACAACCTGTAGTAACCAATAATGTTAATTATTAAATAATCTCCCCATCCTTTGGCAACACTTACGCAAAATATTTTTTCATATTCGAGGAGTTAACTGTGCTACTAACGCCAGTCGTATTATAATCCCAAATCTTCTTCAAATTATTAATTTTACCACAGACTGCTTCTAATATGTCATCCATATTTTCTCTGTAAAATTTAATTAATTTAAATAACTTTTACGATATTTTATAATAATATCTAGCAATAAATAATTAATGTACTCATTTTAATTTAACCGAAAATTCGAATAATTTAACAATATCTTAAGAGATAATTTTTAAAATAACAACAGGCAAAAATGTACTATTACAAAGCGCCATAATTATTGCCCAGATTTGTATGCAATAAAAATTCTCAAATATACCATAAAATATGCTCTAATAAAACATGAAATATGCAATATTAAACATAAACCTCTAGCACTAAAAACCTTTCAAATTTGCCATATAATGCTAAAAATATCACAATACAGAGCACGAATGTCAGAGACAACACACGACTAAGAATTAACTTTTTTAACCTAGGTATATTTTATATTATATATATTTCTTTGGAGTTTCTTTTATAAACTGGAACACAGGCTGTAGGTTTTTCTTTCAAGAATAGTGTCTTTTAATTTTAATTAGAATTGAGAATGGGATACATTTAAAAGTTAGTACAACTACAGTGTTTGTCGCTCAACAATTATTTGTACCTCGAAAAATACTTTTCAAACTTTATTCTTTCCATTTAAGATTTTATTAATTTCCAAAAGTGGACAAGGTGGCTAAAGACTGACCCAACTTTTGGACTTAACCACCGAGATATGGCAAAAAGCTAGTCAAGAGCTTGTTGATAGGTGGCCCTCAGAGGATCTAACTCATAGAACAAGGGTCATCCTTGCCCGATTAAGGATAGGTCATGTGAGGTTGAAACCCAGAAATTTACTTTTGGGCCAAGCCCATGTGTGTCCAGCGCATGTAGGAATGCCACCTAATACGAGAATTGTGCTTGAACACAGTAATGAGTATTTGGGTCCCCTGTTTCAATTCTCGGACAAAACAGAATTATTTTATATTGATAGGTTTGTGTCCCCTAGTGAATGTTAAGAATGAAAGTATTTATTAGCGTGAATGTGTTGTGTGAGACGGCCAATGGCACAATATTGAGTACCCCATTCCTCAATTTGGTTAGTTATATAATAGTTACAAAGGGTGATGGAGGAATATCAAGTTCTCCACCACCCTAAGTGAAACTAATATGAAGTTTTGTTTTAGCACCTCTATAGACCCTTAAAAATAAATTTTTGTTTGAATTTAAATTTATTGCTTTTTTGACATCTAAATTTTTTCTGACTTTTACGAAGTCATTATCGGAATATCTGATTGAAATGGCTACAATTCAAAAATGGCTAAAAGGATTTTAACATCAAACATACCATTTGAAAGAAGAGGAATGTAGCTTTTTAACGATGTATGTAGCATAAAAATATATAAAAGATTTCTATAAGAAAATGCACAGAATAGTTAAATTATTTGTCAGAATTTTTTTAAAAAGGAAATAACAGTCTGATTTTAATGTTTGATACAGTTATAAAATGCACCAACATTGGTTGTCCTACTGTGAGACTGACTGTTTTTGTGTTTCAAATTACTTGAGAAAAAATAATTTTTTAGGAAAGGCAAAAAATCTGCACCAAGAAGTTTTGGAAAGAGAGGCTTCAAAAAAGATGCCAGTTATTTTAAAGGGATTCTATTGTGTCAGATTGTTTTCATCTTTGTTCCTGGCGAGTTAAATTTTAGGTTCTTGTTTTTCCCCACTTTAGCTGCCTACTTTTTTTCCAGAAATCAAAATTGTTTCATTTATGCAGAAGAAAATTTGAACCATATTACAGCCAAGGTCGGAACCGTGAGCAAAAATAATATGCAATTGTATGTAAATCTGTGTCATAATCCTAATAATAAATCCGCAGAAAGAAAGGGATTTACCAACCTGACAACATTTGCTTCTATGCACCACTCTAAAAGAAGATTCAGGGCGTCAATTCTATCTTTAGATTCCAAAGCAAGTGCGGCCTCCTTCGAGCAAACGGTTTCATCGACAAATGTCTTCAACTGGCTACTGTCAATTTTAGATAAATAAGGAAATATTTTCTCATACTGAGACATCCAATTTAAGGAAGATTTCTTGGAAAGGCACTGAAATATTTAAATAATTTAATCTAAAAAATACCTGTTCATTGTGCTGTGAATTTTCCTGTTAAAAATATATACAAAAAATGTTCATACTATAAAAATTCAATACAATCAGCAGATTATTACACTCCAATATATACTTAATTTCACCTGTTAATTATTATTTGTGGCTACTGTGAAAAATATCCTAATATTTACCAATAAAGAAAATTTACATTTTACTTGTGTGCAGGAAGGTATATGATTTTTTCTCCACAGTAACCACCATATGTTACATACCATTTTCCATAACTGAAATATACCTTTTCTTTGAATTCTTGAATCACTAATTCCAAAAATATGTCACTGTCATTAAAATTATAAATATCAGTTGTAATAATTTTCTTTAAAGCCTTGATCAGTTTCAAGAAATCGTTTTCATTGTAATTCAAACTCTCTTTGAGAGCTTCTAGTAGCCGGCTGTGATTCTCGATTAGATCTCTATAGTCCAGATCTGAAATAGTAAAATTTTAATACATGTAAGAAGTGAGACGTAGCGATATTAGTAACCTGGCAACAAATCAGCTATTTTAGCCAGCAAATCGATGTGTTCTGAAGGAGTGAGAGAATGTATAGGATAATGGTTGTCTAACTCTTTCAAAACACTGAACAACATCATTAATTTTTGATAGTTAAACCCATCCATGCTTGGCAGTAGAGATATCAATCTAAAAAAATAGTAAATGTTTTCATATTAAATAAGGCTGAACAAAATACAGGATGGAAATTATGAAACTACCTCTGTCTTATAACATCTGATTCCATTTTTAATATCGAAGAAAACTTTTCGTTGTTTAATGAAATCGATAAAGAGTCCTCATCGTTTTCAAATATTAAAGACGATATATGTGTTACGGCAACTTCTGCAACTGGAAGGTTGTTTTCAATTGCCAAGTTTATTGCAAGGCTAAGTTTATCACAGCTCCTATGAATTAATATTTCATGTAAATATAATATATGTGTTGGAAATTGAAAAAGCCTGGCAAGACAGAACACGATCCGCTGCGGAAAGTATTATCTGAAGGAAATGGCATTGCAATCTAGTACTATCCCATTTATATCAACCCTATAAGAAAGAACATGATGGAAATGATAAATGATGGAGTGAGTGTGGTGTCCAATCCTTTTTAAAAAGATAGTTCCTACTCACAGTAAGTTGTTTTGCAACGATCCGGATTTCGAGCCTTTGTAGAAGTCCTTCAACCTGATGATGAGCTAAAAGGCTCGAAATCCGGATCGTTGCAAAACAACTTACCTTTTTAAAAAAGGATAGAACATGATGTATCGGTTCAGGTCTGATTTTGTCATGATGACAAGTGGTTGTACAAATCATAGATTGCACGCCTGATCATCTTACCACTTTGGATCCTTGAGACACATATTAAGTCTGTTCTATGTTAAAAAGGGTGTTCAATCATTAATAAGGGTGTCTGAAAGTACCAAGAAATCTGTGGTGATGTTTTTTATTTTTTGTACGTTACGGGCTATTGGCCAATATCGAGCAGCCAAAATGTGCTAATTGAATGAAATACCCCACCCTACTCTGGCTTGGCTTTAAGATGCCTTCACTTAATTAAAGCTGTTGAAATAAAGGTCATTGGTGTTGTGGGGTACTGGTTACTTAATAAGAAGCCCATTTGGGCTGCTGAAGATGGACCCAAAATGTACAACAAATAAAAAACACCACAGATTTTTTTAAACACCCTTGATCTATATTGTGAACCATGGATAAAACAACAAAAGAAATATTTAAGTAACTAAAACTGTGCCATCCCCTGCTTTTTCTCTCTTAATAGTTTCATGGATCCAACATCTTATTTGCTCTGAACTCTTTTGTGGCATATCAAACTGCCAAAAAACGTGGTTCCATTAGACGATAGATTAAAGATAAGTCCTCCAATTTATTTATTTATACTATAAACTCAACCAGCAAGGCCCAAAAAAGAGCAGTCGTCACTATCAAAATAATAAGGTAAAATAAAATAAAAAACATAAAAATAACATGATATATAATAAAAATAATGTGAAAAAAGACTAAAATGTTAAGAGATCATACAAAAAAAACAAAAAAAAAAAAACATTGCATTAGAGATATTGTTTTTAAAAGTATATAAATACTCTGAGAAATAATAAGAGTCTGCAGTTTCCCCATGGAAGGCAAGGCTAAACATGAAATGCCTCCCATAGCTGGTGCGATACCAGCTCCAAAAAAAAGTTTGTACACCCTCTCAAAAGGCGTTGAGGAACTGGCAGGCCAAGACTAAGAGAATCCCTGGAGAAGAGATTTGAGAACTTTCCATATCAATGTAAGACAGGTAACACGCCGTCTGTCGGACAAAGATTGAAGCCCCGTAAAAAGAAGCCTATCAATATAGAGAAGGTAATTAGGAGTGCAAAATTTAAAGACAAGTATCTAGCAGCCCTACGCTAAACAGATTCAACCAGATTAATCTCAGGTTTACCAAATGGATCCCAGACAATACAACGATACTCCAGAAAACTGCGGACCAATGTCTGATATAACATTTTAACCAAGTAACATTTTTTTTAAGGAAAGGAATTACTGAAGTCAGAAGTAAAACATTTTACAAAACCGAGAATCGTAAAAGCTTTACATCTAACCTTGGAAATGTTATTACAAAAATTGCATTTATTATTAAAAATTATACTTAAGTTATTTTGGTTAGTTTTGTAGTCCAGGACAGAGACATGCGAAAAATTTCACCAAAGGAACTAGGACGTGTTAGGACTAGATAATAGTTGGACTGCTAACTGAACACTGCAGAAGGCATACAAACTCGAAGTGGCAGAAACAAGCCTATGCAGGTGCAAGGAAAAAGAGTGGAATATGTCCTCTGTTGGTATGAAGGCTCATGTAAGCTAAGATTCCTACTCCTGAGAGAAAGTTTGTAAACAAGCTTTGGGATCCGGTAAAAAGTCTTAAGCTTAATGAGGAGCAATGGAGATGCACAATAGACCACTATTGGTTGTGGTGTGCTGGTCATAAAGGGGCTGACTGCTACTCTAATCTTAATCTTAACATTTTTTTTTTTTTTAAATTTTGCAATGCTAATAGCAAAACGAGAGGTTCTTTGCCTAAATTCATACTCAATAACAATAGAAAAAAAAAAAGGAGTGAAAATGCATTATAAGCTATGTGATACCCCCCTCTTATCACAACAGATTGCTTTCTGTCTGGTCAGGCATTTACTTCTATAATTTTTTATGAACTGTATTTATAAATATATATTTTAATGCAAATAAAAACTTTAAATTGTCATACATTGCCAGTCCGAGAATAGTATCTCTCCTGTAATCAGCATCATTCATAAATCGCTCTGAGTTAACTCCACATTGCAAGTTAACTACTTGTTGAGCTTGCTTATAATTTGCATATCTTGTCCGATGTTTAGTAATTAAATCTATGTATTTTATATCTTTGCTGTCCTGGCTGTTCACCCATGTAACTACCTACGCAAATATAAAAATTGTAAATTGCCATTTTTTTAAACATTTAACTACTGCCTTACTTCCTGAGGTGTGGATAAGACAGGATGGTCTCCCATGTATGAAAGAGAGCTCAATGAATAGAAATAAATAGCAAGCTGAAATGTAAACGGTGACTCTGGAATATTCATAAAAAATTCCTCGCTGTCTTCTGGATCCAAGAGGGATAACAAATAGCCAAGAGATAATAATGTACTCTCTGTAATGTATTTCAGGCTGCAGCCAATAATAACTATGACAAAAACAAAAAAAAGAAAACCTCTTACTTTCCAAATCGATAAATAGAGAAAATAGATTTTTTTAAAAATTATGTTACCTTCTTTCAATAGATGATCTTGATTGTACCCGTTCAAATCCATCAACAAACTCAAAGGCATTTTTTTAGCCATTTCGGCAGAATTATTAGGCAGATGGAATTCAGTCTGAGGTGTACAACTATCAGGCAAGCAGGTTTTATGAAGCATGGAGTAGAATAAGTAATTTGTATGCATCAAATTTCTATTTATTTCATTGCTTTTAAACCTATATAAACAAAAATGTAATTATTACTATAAATAAAGTTAATATAATAAAATCAACTTACTTAAAATGGAGGGGCTTATGTAATTTACATTTATCATAGTGATTTAAAAAAAAAGAATAACACTTGTCGACTGAATTTAATAAGTAAACTCCATCATTTTCCTAAAAATAAAAATATAAATATCACTACTTGTGTATATTTATAAATATAGCATGAGGTGATTGTGATTCCTATCGTTAATGATAGTAGGGACCTGAATCTGGCCATGAGTTAAACGCTGATAGCTGGATGATAAACAGTCCTGAATAAAGAGCATGGTCTGCCTTTCAAACTCGAAAAGGCATATAACATGACATGGAGATATGCGATTCGAAGAGATGTCGGGACATCAGATCCAGAAGCTAAGATACCTAGCTTACTCGAAGCTTTCCTGAGGAACAGAACCATGCTTTCTGAGAGAATGTAGTCCCTCTCGGTCCTGAATCCAACCGTAGTCTAGCAATTTGTCATAAAAGAAGAAAAAAGTGGATCCTTAATGGGACCAAATCTTGGTGGATGAACTCCCAGGGATGAGACAAGCAAAGAGATCAACAGAGAATTATGGTAAGTCTCTTTACTGGAAATTCTGCTTAAGAAGGCATACATATAAGATATATAGACGGTAAGTATTGTCAGAAAGAATCATTTGCACATTTTGCTGAAGAGACAGCAGATTCCGTGATACTGCGAGGGTCTATCCAGAAAGAAAAGTGATAGCACTATTCAAGTTTATCAGTCACTTTATGTGAGTAGCAGCGAGGGAGACCCTCCTGAAAATATTAAACTAGGTGCCCTTAACCTTATTTTATAATTGGATGGACTAGTCTTATCCTGAAAAACTTGGAGAGTTGCTCTCTACTACCACTTGAGCAATCTCCAGTCAATGTATCAAGGTGGTCATGTACCAGCTTACTCTCGAACTGGGACATCTGCTTTCTCAGATGCCAGTACAGCTGAGTACAAGAGTGATTTCAAACCTTCAGATTACGCTTTGGTAAACACATTGGAAATAGTTCTTGACCTGATCCACCAGCCAACTCTGTTCTTGGATTCGTTAGTCATAATGACCACCCTGCCATATCTTTAGCAAGATAAGTTCTTGTAACTTAGATCTGGGTATGCAGGTTTTTACCTCATTTTTACAGATGGGCCTAAATCTAGCAAGTTGTAGTGGAGTGTAAAGCCCAAATGTGTCTGGACATGGCTGACTTGTGTCCAAATACACACAAATAAAATATACAAAGGTTGGGAAAAATTAATATTTGTCAATGATTCTTACATAAGATTCAGTTTTGGCCCATTATCAACAATTCATAACCACAATATCAAATATATCCCAAGAAAATATTTGTACAAGAATACCTCTATTTGTATATCACATTCAGGCTGATTTGGTTTGTTTCCAGGAAGCTTAGGAGTACCAGTGACAGCTTCTAACAGCAACGTTTTACTGAAAAGAATTAACTTTAAATAAATACTTCAAAAATTAATAGATTTGAAGTATAATTTAGTTGAAGTGAGAGCTTACTTTAATTAATAGAGATAATGTTTAAATATCAAATTTTTATTTTCTTTTTTAAGAGGATTTGCAACAGCAGAGGTCATAAATCAATGTCAAATTTTTGTATGTGTATATACTCTAGGTTTGAATTCAGAGCCGCTAAGATTTGAACCCGGTACCTGCAGTGATGAATCGCCTCTGCTCTAACTGCCATGGCTCTTTTTTGACTTTAACATAATAAATAGTGTTGTCATTTAGGGGACTGCGGTGGCCGAGTGGTTTTGGAGTCCGACTCATATTGCCACTCCAGCGGTTCTGGGTTTGAATCCTGCCAGAGCCCATGGCTTTTTAATTGATACATAATTATATGAAAAATGTATTGCAATGTGGTTTGACCCTTAGTCTGCGACACCCAACATTGAGTTGGACGTTAAATCCCTTGTATGACAGTAAAATTGCGTCCATCTCTTTATTTACCAAGTTAGAGGTACTGGGTTTGAAACCAGGTAGAACACATCGTTTTTTTAATTTATAATGATATGAAAAATGTACTGTACAGTGGTTTGACCCCTGTCTGCCACACCTAATGGTTAGGCGGATTTTAAGTTTTCCTGTATGATTGGAATCAATTTAATTTAATTTCAATTCAAATAAAACTTACCGTGCTTTTATTATTTCTTGCAGATAGCTAGAAGGGCAGTGTATTGATGCAAACAATAAAAGTTCGAGCTTTTCTGCTACAGCTGTGTACTTCTCACACTGTCCTAAGTGCAAACATATTTTCCAACCAGCGGAACTGTTCCATTTAATTAAATCAAAACAAAATTCTGAACAGTAAACAAAATCATTATTCTAAAAAAAATATAGTTATACAAAAATATGATTTATTATTTTATATAGATGGTACGTATGGTGAGTTTAACTTCTGTTACCATCTTATGTTTTTTTTTTTTTTGAGGGGGAAACCTCGAAACATGTAAATTTATATTTTTCCTTGGTTTCTTATGAGCCAAAACATTTTGATCAAAATCTATAAGATATCAGGATATGTATGTAACTATTTCAAATAGCAATATACTCAACAATATACGTTTTTTGGAAGATTTTTGACGTTGAATTCAATGGTGTAAACAGTTTTAATTTTGAGCAACCAGAAGGTTATCATAGACACAGTTCCAGCGCTGGGACACCATGACTTTGTGCACTCTTCGTCGGAAGTCCACTGACATGGGACCAAGGGGCTCCATAATGGAAACAACTGAGAATTAAGTTAGTGAGTGGCCGCCCAGGTCATAACTAACCCTTGCAAGAAGCATGGTGACCCCAGGTTTTCCTTTCCTCCCCCTCCACTGGTTGGAAGATAAAAGAGGATGATTTGAAAAGCTAAGTCAAGTCGAGGACTCAGTCAAGAGCTGCCAAGCAGCCGTACTCAGTCAGGGACTTAGCGAGAGGACCTAGCCATTGTGACAAGTTGAATAGAGTCGACTGTTGAGGATGCAGGAAGCTGCAGAAAGAATACCCTGGAAGACACTGTGGAAGCTGGTATTAGGCAAGCATCATTTTGGGGTTAAATAAATGTTTATGAATATCTCTGGTTTATTGTATTTTTGAACTTTACGTTCCCCCACACAAAAAGTAATTTGGAGTTTGTTTATGCAAAAAGGGTTCGGAAAAAACTTTTTGCTGATAACTTGAAAATGGTTGTTCCAAAGTAAAAACCGCTTGCACTGTTGAATTCAGTTTAATTTTTTTTTAAAATGTTCATTGATGACTATATTGCCATTTGAAATAGTTAAGTCCCTATTTGTATCCGGATATCCTGGAGAGTTAGATCAAAGCTTTTTCTCTCATTAGAAACTAGACAAAAATAAAACACACCATTTGCATGGTGTGGGTTTTGCAAGGAGGGACTAGAAGTTAAGCTCACCCTGTAGAAAAATACATACTTCAAATGACACTTCAGCAAGTAAGGTTGTTATTACTATTTGTCTTTTGAGCCTGTCGTCCCCGAATAATTTCAAAGCTGCTGCCAATTTGTATATAGGTTGAGGATTTTTATATATTTTTTTATTTTTGTAAATTGCTCTATGAATCCATTTGAATTTATCTTCTGATTCACGAACTAAAATTTCATGGCATGTCAAAATAATTGATTCATTTCAATAATTAGCATAATGATCAAATTAATTTTTTTAGAAAATCGTGACAACCTTGTAAAGGAATTAAATCGATTTTTAAATCATACAAATATCTCAGTGCTCTTATTAAATCAAGCTCTTCTTTTATAGCTTCATTCTCATCTTTTATAATATATAAGCAAGACCTAATAAAATGAACTTATTTTAGTACATATTAAAGAAAAAAAGAGAGAAAAAAACATACCTAGCAAGACTCATATTACTGTCATTGTATTGAAGAGCTGAATTGAAATATTTTTTGGCTGACTCCAATACCAGTTGTACACTTCTTTCATAAGAAATGTTTTTTTCATGTTCATTATCATGACGACAACACAAAACAGTCGACGCCAATTCTATACATGTAGGAATTCCTGAATTCAACAGAGCTCTGATGTAAACCTAGAACAATATTAAAGTTAAAAAGATAATTAAAAATATTTAATATGAATAAATTATTTATATTTAATACAGCTAATAGTAATATGCTCTCTATGGCAAGTGCCTATCCACTAAACATCACTCAGAACACTTCATCCTAATATCTTAGACCTCAAATTTCACACGCCTTCTACCGTATTTTTTAAACATGTAGATTGTTTAAGTGAGTATGGAATGCTTGTTGGAGTCCTCTGCATGACTGGCTTGCATGGCCCACTTGTTATTTTTGCTCAATTCTGTTCTAGGCAGATTATGACATGTGGTTGTACATGTTAATCTTGCTTGCCAAACAAAATTATTTTTAAAAAATTAGTAGGCTGAAGAGAAGGAATTTAGGTACAATAAAAGAATTCAACTAACCCATACTAGATCAACTCTTAGGCTAATGTCACACACAGCGGTTTTGACCAAAGTGTTTATTCTGAGAAAAACCGAGTCAAAGTTGTGGCATTGTGTGTGTTGGTTTCGAAACCGACTCGGGTAGTGGTCTATATGCATTGAGTTGGTTTTGAAAATGCCCGTTTTTCAGTAGTAACAACCATGGGCAATAGACAGACAAGACTTGGTTTTTCTTTCATGTGACTGCCTTACTATCAAATAAAAAAATCAGAAAACTATACATTTTTACCAATCAAAAATTGAATCCTTTAATAATTAAGGAAAATACAAATAAAATGGAACAAACAATATAAATTATAAGTTATAAGTTAAATATAAGCGCTTTTCCCTTACCTTCCTCAAGCCACACCAGAAGATAAATCAGGCCTGAGGAAGCATTAAATTTAAAAGCCTCATTTCCAGACCTAAAATATTAATTAAATAGCACAACTCGCCAGTATAGAATCTCCCTATGGCCGGGTGGTGGATGGATAATAAAAAAAACAACTCTTATTATAATTTTTTACGAGGGTATTTCAGCTATGAAGTTATATGAACCCTTGGAGTGCTGGTATTTTTGAAAAAAGCCTAGTAAGTATGTCGAGTTCAAATACAGGGCCACTGGATTCAAACTCGTGACTTTTACCTTACAGTGATGAGTGATGTGTCAATGCCTAAACCATTGAAGCTACCAACGCCCTGTTATAAAAGCTCTTAGGAAAAGCATTATTTACCTCATAGAACATTTCCACTGGAAGTGCATTGAAAATTATACTTTGAAGCATTAATGCATGCTGAAAGTATGTTTGTAATTCTTCATGTAATAGTTCATGCCATCCGTCTCTGAAATTTAATTACAATGAAATACCTTTATAAATTTATTACCTAAATCCAAGTTGTAATAGTGTAAATACCTGGAACTTTCAGCCATCTGTTCTATAATATTCTTAATTGACTCTTCATCATTTTTAATGTTGTGAATTTCTTCGAGTGGCAATGATATGTGGTATTGGTGCAATTTTTCAGCAGCAAAAACTTCATTTCTTAATTCTGACAATCTGCTCAATATCTTTTCCTTGCTTTAAATTTAAAAATACAAAAACAATAAATTATCATGTATACAAAGAAAATATAACAATCTTAAAAAAATATTAAACTACAAAATTGTAAATACACAGTTCCATAAAAAAGTGGCACACTTTGAAATTTTAGTGTTTTTTGTGTACTTTCCTTTTCAGCAACATTAACACCCATATTTTTTTATAATTCAGGTATTTATTATAAGAGTTGGTTAGTGTGAAAATAAAAAAACGTTTGGAAAACAAAAAATTTACTTAACAAAAAATCTCTTTCATGTGTATACATAAAACATTATAAAACCAACTTTAAAATCTTAATAAAGTGTTTTACCTCCTCTAGCTCTTATTAAACACTAACCATTTTGGTATGTTCATAAATAAGCCTTAACCACATCTTAAGAAATTTCATAACAAATCTCAACTAATGTAATTTTAAGTTCAGCTATGGTTGCAGGAGGGTTATTTATTTGTTGTACCTAATATCCAAGCTCATCCCAAGAGCGTTCAATGGGGCTCAAATCAGGGCTCTGGGCTGATCATCAGGGTGTGAATATTGACATCATGAAGGTATTGGATTGATCTTGCATAAACAATAATTGATCATCAATAACAGGATCATGGCACCATATATTCTTCAAAAATGTCTGCATTAAGTATTGGCCTATTAACTTTGTTTTTACCCCTGAAGTAATTATATACCATAACTGAACCACTGAATGACCCCTCTTCTGGTGATTTACTGGCTGTACTGATCTTTAGAAGCAATATAAACTCGAAGATGTCTGTGTGGTGAAGGGAGAAAAAACATACCACTCCTCTATTCAGTTTCTGTTAAATGTGGTGTTCCTTTCAAACTCTAAGCAGTTCTGACAATGATCTCTGGTAAGAGCGCGACCTGTGCTGGCCTTCTGAGATGTAGATTCAATTCTGCAAGTTTTCTTCTTGCCGTTTCACCACGTTCAAAGTCCTTGGGAAATTTCAGAAGCAATGGGAAAGCAATTTCTGAAGAGTCTGATCAATCGGCTGTCAGCTGGCCCCATAGCTCTTGGGCATCCCAACCCTGGTCTCTGAGTACACCTTCCAATCTCCTGGTACTGCTGAATGTCCGATGGAGCAGTGTTCAAGGCAAACTCAACGAGTACAATGACATGGGCTGGGTTGTTCACTGATTATGGGAATTTTAGTAATTGTTTTGTTTTGCGCCACCAACATAATAGTAATTAAAGGCAGTTTTAAAAGATTAAATTAGGGTGGATTTATTAGCAAAAGGCAGCCCAAAAAGGGGTACCAAAAAACTTAACAATCTTACCTGATATCATATTAAAGCCACTTTAAGCAAATCGTGAGGAAGCTATGGCAAAAAGAATATGATATATTTAAGGCAACTAAAACTATTAACCAAATCTATTGCATCCAAATGACGGTACAAAATAGTGAACAGGCTTCAGATTTTTTTTTGTTTTTAATGTTTGTACAACTATCTTCAGGTTCCATCATGGAGGCATCCTTTTTTTTTCATCTGCAGCCAGGCCTCCAATCTTAGTCCCCACTCATTGCAAGTGATGGCTGCTGTATTACCCACATTGAAAACAATGGGGAAAAAAGTTTGTGCCTTATAATCAGGGTATAAAAATACATTCCATCTAATTATAAATATTAAATCATTTTTAAAGAAAATAAAAAATATAGCTATGACATTGTCAAATTAAAAAAGAAATCTTAATTTCAAAGTGCACCACTTTTTTGTTGTTGAGCGGTGTAATGAATCTGATTGTGGACAATCCAAACCTTGAATGAGCAGAGAGACGAGAAGCCCATTCAATAATATTATCGAGAAGTTCCAAGGATTCTGAAAATTTGTCAGCCTCTTCATATTTATAAAGGCAATCAGTTAACAAATCTATGAGTTCTTCTGGTGTTCCAAGGATTTTTAGATTTCCTTCAATTATATAATAAAAGAACTAAAACAGTATAAATGATTAGTTTAATGTTAATTACTATTTTAAAATGTTTAGAAAAATCCCCTTCAACCGAACTGACATTAAAAAATGAATCGTTTCTTCCATCTCCCCTTAAAAAAAAGACTACTAATAAACTTACATTAATTGAGGATTGTAGACTTGTTTGGCTTGTGTGGATTATAAAACTGGAAAGTAGGTTCAATTTCTCTCCAGGGAATTTGTGCTCTATTCTTTCAAAAAATGGAAACACATATTTAATCATTTTAGGCACAAATATGGCATCGCTGGTCTGAAAGTTAATCTCGATTAAATCAAATCCAATGATATTGTACACAAAATGGCATACATTTTTCATAAACAACGTTGCTTTTTCTAAAGAGGAAAGTTGCGAAAACTCCTTGTATGAAATGTCTATTTCAAGGTCATATACTAAAGCTTCTAGCGTTGTCATATTAGAGTGTAAATCATCTAAGCCCTGTTCGGGATAAAAATATGATTTAATCCTAGAAATCATCTAATAAGTTGAAATTATTTTTGATTTTCTATACCTGAATATTTCGTTGTTTTCCTAATACTAAAAGCTGGATGGCATTATCTACTATTTGGCACAGCTCTTCAATATGTAATGCTCTGAATATATACCATTCAGTAAACACTTTACCACTGAAACTTAAACATGGTTCTCCCAACCTCTGAGCTAGTACATTCAGATTGACTGGTTCATGAAAATCCCTAAAATAGCATTGTTTATTTATAATATAGTTTGAAATGTTATCAATTATTTCAAATGAGAACGGGTTAAAAGTATGACCTGAAAAATTCATGACTAGTCCAATCGTGTTTCTGTGATACAGTTTTATTTCTTATTATTGGATTTCCTTCGCCATCACATTGAGGTAGAATATTGCTAAACAACAACAAAAACTCATTTTCTTACTTTTCTTTACTGAGTAGATTCAGGTTGTAAAATAATTACAGAATTTTTTGTTTTATTTTTTAAATGATTTTAATGAAAAATTCAATGAAAATTTCAGGTAAGCAATTAAAAGTTGTAATTTGTAACCTATGCATTAGTACACATTATCACAGCACTAACACCAATGACAGTATTGCACTGGGTTCTCCAGATGAGAATATGTACAGAGGGCTTGAGCAGAAGGGTTAGGATGGATCAAGATGTTGGTGTAAAACTTTTTGAATCGAGAATGGATCAGCTCATTGACAAACGGAATGTTGAGGTCATTGTGAATAGTGACGTAGAAAGGAGCTTTGATGATTTGTCGGAGTACTGAGGCCTATATATTGTGCTTATAGACATCAACCAATGCTGCCCCTCAATATCAGGGACTCAATATTAATGGGCTATGTCTCGAGGTCAACGTAGTTTAAGGTGACATGGCTGACTCTCAGGGAAGGAAAGTATGTGAAAAGCTGGGAAATACGGTCAGGATGGGTCAAAAGGTTGTTGTGGAACTGTTGGAAGTGGGATGAGATCACATAAGACAAAAGAAATGTTGAGGTCAATGGTGAGGTAGTGTGATCCTCCCTGTGTTCGTGGGGCCGAGTAGTGTTGACAATGAAGAAATAATAACAAACAGAAAAAATAAAGGAGAAAAACAGCTTTATATTCTTAAGAGTCAAGAATCAATACATTAGGTGTACCTGGATAACAGTGTGGGAAACACGACGTCTGAGTGGTTAGAATGTCTGACTCGTATTTGCCATGCGAGCAGTTCTGGGTTTGAATCCTAGCAGAGCCCATGGCTTTTTAATTGATAATGGTATGAAAAATGTATTGTAAATGGTTTGAACCCTCATCCGCGTACGTTAAGCTCTCCCATATGTATGACTCGATAACAATGTGTCCTTTAGTCTCGAGCTCTGGCCAACAACTGAGGAGGCTTATTACTCTCTTTTGCGATACCCGAGACCAAGAGTCACCCTGTGACAACCTTAGTGGGATTAGCGATCCAGCTTGTGGAGTGGTAAAAAGTGGGTCGGTGAATTTTCCCTACGATTTTCCTATGTGAAAATTGTTATAAAGGATCCACTTTTAATACCTGTTAATCTTTTTAAAAATAGGTCGTTTACATATTGTTTTAGGAGGGAATCATGTGAAGAACCCGTATATCGCTCTGACAATCCAGCTCATATCCATGCTCACAGATCTGTTGAAAAGCTTGCATGAGACTTGTTAAGTGTGGGTTATTTGTGACAAAAGCTTGAATTTGGTCAGAATCAACAAATGAAGGATGACAAGAGCAATTTGGGTCTTACAAATTAAAATTTCCACTTCAGAACTGAACAAACCACTTATAGTCTGAGGTTTTCCTTTTGCAGTAAAATAAATAAATAAAAATTGAATGGCAAAAAGCACTGTTTTTTCTTCAATTTAAAAAACAAACCACCTTAACTAATCCATTTTCATAATGTCAAAACAGTAATTATTAAATAAACATTGCTTCAAAACTCAAGAGATTAAAATTTAATTATTGAAAAATGCTACAAACTTATTTTACAACCCGACATATTAATTGACAAAACTGTTTAATCTTATATTATTAATAATTATACGGACTTTACCTATACATAGAAGGATTTATTGTCTCTGGAAAATTATTCAAAATAATAAGCCAGAAAGGCCTTATTTCGTCGCAGTGGAAATTCATGAGAATTTCGACAGCACTGCCATTGCCTGCCCTTGCAAAATTGATAGCTGAATCAACATAAGTTTGCTTTCGAAATATCTCAAATTCGTTACAGTTATAATTGTCCTCTGCTTCAGATTTACCAATAATCATCTAAATAACAATTACAAAAGGTGATGCACAAAATGTCTTAATCAAATCGTCTATTAGATACCTTGTAAGTATTTAATTTATCCTCATAACCGCATATAGTAATTCTTGCAGACACAGCCTGTTTTTCATACTCTGTTAAGCCTTTGGCGCTCTTAAGGGCTTCTAAGCTAAGCTCAATTTGTTCTGACTGAACTGTAAACAAATAAAAATAAGAAATTGTTACATAGAAATGTTAAAATAAACATTACCTTTAAAAACATCCTCAAACTTTGTTAATTTAAACCCGTAATCTAATAATGCAGAAGCTCCTTCTAGAGTTTCAGCTACTCTATTTAGGCATTCATTTAGTACCCACTGTTTATCTGTAACTTTATCCTGAAAGCATACATCAACAAAGAACATATAATATTAAGCATAAAAAGCCCCCCCCCCCTCAGGTTAGTTGTCTGTTACCTTATTATTTAGAACTGAACTTTCAAATCAGAAAATATTTCAATAAAACAGTTAATAAAAACTAATAAATAGTAAAACCTTTACAAAATATAATTTTGTTTTTAAAGAAAATTTAATAATTAAAAAATAAATAAAATAAAATAAAACTTTTCTTACCAAATATAATTCAATGGAATTTGCAGAAACGAAACTAGTTTTCCACTGTTCCTGGTAAACTATATCTTGATTAATGCCATATTCAAGTGCCAAGAGAAGCGCCTGATCAAACTCATTATTACTAAGCTAAAAAGAATAATTGAAATATATTATAAAACATCAAATAATGTCATAATAAAACACTGGTGAAGTCTGTGAGCCAGTGGTATGACTGTCTCTCAACATCTTGCCTGTACAAATATCAACAAAAGCCAGATCGAAATCTTTGACAGAAAAAAGTCAACAGTGATGTACTCCTTCAATTTTGACAAACAAAGGAGATATGATTGACAAAAAACACAGATCAATGAAATACTGAAAGATTACAGATAAAATCAGAAGAATGGGCAGGCAAGGATGAACAAGCCAGTAGCCAAGTGGTTAAGGTATCAGACTAGTAGATACTGTAGTAGTATCATCTCCGGATTTTTAGAAAACAAAAAAAATCATTGAGTTATTTATTAAGAAATAGTTTTCTTATATGTGTAGAGATTAGTGACCGTTAATCGACAGTTATTCAGATATCGTGAGATGTGGTCGGGTGGGGGGTTTCTTATATGGCGAACAGGGGCCATCAAGCTAGGGTCACCATACATTTTGTATTGTGTCAAGGCTTTTGTGTCCCTACACTTGAGGACCATGAACGATGGTACCAGAGTGCTGCATAATGTAAGCTCCCAGCACATGTGACAGCCAGGGATCTTGGCTGACCTTCACAAGAAAAGTGTACCAAAAAGAATACCACAAGATTTTGCGTTCCATAATAACTGATATAAAATGGGAGGATTGGAGGGGGAAAAAAAAAGTTAAGACTAAGAAGAGTCATGGCAAGAAACGAAGGGGGGAATTGAGAAGAGTCAGCTAGAGAGAAAAAAGAGAAAGAGAACAGGAAAAGCAGCAAGAGGCTGAAGGATGCGGAGACTAATGTTGGTAAGTGTCGCTTGGGTATGTTATTATTTTATTTTTTTAAAGGGCGTTATTATGTCAATATTAACCAGAGTGAAGAATTATATTTTTGTATTGCATTTTGGTAGAAGGGGAGAATTAAGAAAAGGTCAGGGCGATGGTGCGAGAGAGTCTAACTCAATCACTCATCTACTGCGGTCTCTCATTTAGTACTAAATAAGGTTCCACACTGCTTACAGAAATATAGAAATATAAAATAAATTTAAATCTTATATACTGAACTTAATTCTAACCCTAACTCTACCCAACCTAACTTAACAAACCCACACACGAAATTGATGATGCAAAAATGACCATGTAAAAAAAAGTCTAGTCAGCCTAAAAACATAACCATGTTTAAATTGTACACAAGTAATTATAACCACTAAGCAATACAAAATAATATTTCAATAAACATACCAATAAAATTACTTAATTATGATGTATTGATATAAAGAATACCTTCCTGTAAAATAATTCTTCGGGAGTTGTGTTTTTCACTCCCAGCAGTCTGTAGATGTTCTGTACATTTTTAGTGGCTTTTTTCCTTGGCTGATATTTTTCTAAATCCGTTAGCATATATATGGTCGATTGTAATAAATCTGAACTTGAATTTACAATAGACCCGTCGACATCTTCCTGGGCTGATTCCTAAAGATTATTAGCATTAAAAAAAAATTATTATTTTGGGCACAGTTTCATACCTGTGGTGTTACTGGGAGAGAAATCAGCTCACATTCGAGGGCAAGAAAACCGGGAAAAGAAGGAATAGCTGATAACCTTGGGTGTCCGTTTGAAGGGTCTTGCTGTGATCCAAACACTACATCAAAGTCATTAATTTTATGAATTAAAATCGTACCATCCTTTCTTGAAACGATTATTTCCTAAAAATGTACGATACAAGAACCAATAAATTATTAAAATATTTAATAAGGAGAGTAATAACAAGAAAAATATTTCTACCTCTTCGGTGTGCCACTCAACATCAATCGGGATTGAAAAACTACTGTCCCAACTTACGGGATGATTTATATTTAAATCCATAGGAGACCATTTTTGGTACAGCCTGTAATGAAAGATATCATCTTTGAAAATATATATGATATTTAATTTTTAATTCACAGATAGGATTATTGCACTTTTTATTTTCTGATAACTGATTAATAAAAGATCAAGTTTGCACATGCATGTACATACACACGTGTGCAGAGCCAAACCTATCACTTCCTGCAGCCTGCCTGCAATTTCAGCTTTTGTGTAATTTACAATAAATTACTGCCAAACCTTCAGAATCATCCACCTCAGGTATTGGCAGTTCAGACTTTGGTCTAATCCATCCAGCCACCGAGGTTTGGCTCGAGGGGCTATCGACAGCTAGGTCATTTCAGTCCTCAACAAAATCAATTCCTAAATCCATTCACACTCTCACTCTCCCTTAAATACTTTCTTACATATTTACACATACAACTCACTCAATTAGGTGGTGGAGTACTCGATATTCCTCCATCACCTTTTATCTATTGTATAACTAACCTACTTGAGGTTTGATGGGGTATTAAATATTTCAGACCTCTTACACTACACACTCATGCCCATAAATACATTCACTCTCCACACCTAGGGGACAAAAACCTTTTATTGGAAAGTAAAAGATCGTAATCCTCATTTTAAGATACTTCTAAAAAGTAATCCACTCAAAAAAACAAAGACTTTTTATTGAATGATTTTTTGTGAATTTGCCAAAATATGCATTTGAAAAACAGAAAATACCTAAGCCACAGCTTTATGCTGCTTTTTAACATGAATCTTCTTAGTTTCCTCTAAACTATCAGTACTACATACACTGAAATTACCTTGTTTCCTTCAAGAATCGGAATAAGCAACCCAGATACTCATTGCCCTACTCTAGCACATTTTTATATTGGGTGGCATTCCTACATACTCTCTATATAGAACCAAGGAATGGGCCCTCATTGCCCCTTCAATTACAGGGGACACATTGATTAGCTCTATTTGCCGGACACATATGTGACCCAAATGAATGCCAACCTCGCATGGCCTATTCATAATCGGGTGAGGATGACCCATCTTCTATGAGTCAGATGCTTCGAGGGCCACCTATCAACAGTGCTCTTGATATATGAGGGCTTGGTCTACATAGGACCTGTCATGGACAGCAGTAACCGTGCTGAGTCAGCCCAGACAAGGTAGGCAAGGCCACAATCATCTCAACCATGCGCCAAATTACATACAATTCTCCCATGTAAACGCTACAATGTGACAGAGAGACCACCAATTCTATTTTCTGTTTTAAACTTTATAACTTTTATTATTTTTTAAATTCATTTTATTCTAGTATTGCACATCCTAATTTTTGTAATATATTAGTTTTAAAGTAGCTGAGAAAAAAAGTTTATTACTTACCTCAAACCAGGTATTGACCAAATGCATATAGTCCCACAAGGATGTAAAGAAGCGAGATATCGATCAGTTTGTGATATTTTCAATTTCACTGCAGTTTCCTTTAACAGAAATATTATTAAATAATCGTTTTATCTTAATTGAAATGATAAAGTTTGACAAGACGTACAATATTTTTGTATGTCTGGAAGTAAGTCCAAAGCCGCTTGTTTGATGTTTTAAATAGTTTTAATTCATCCTCAGTCGGAAAAACTTGCCTGTAATAAGGGCTTTCATTTATTTTGCTCCAAGCACTTAATCCAGCTGCTAAGCTAGTGTTCTGAAGAAGAAAAAAAAAATTAACAAATTCAACATGTTTAAGTAAGTTACGCCAAATACCTTATACATCTTACTGGCAAACTCAGGTTCTGTGGCAATAAAAATAAGGTTGTGTCTATGACTGTAGACAGCGCAAGAAACTTCCGATCTCTCCAGACTAGCTCGGTGGTTCAGTGGACATTTTTCAAAAGAGACCATTTGATATGAATTTATTGTACCATCTGAATACACAACAATCAACTCCAAATCCCTAAAGACAATCAATAAACTGTAGCATTTTAAAAGGTAAATAGTTTAAAACATAACGAGTGTAAATACCATTCCTGTTTTGAATGTTGTTTGCTAATAAATTCAAGGCCTGCAATGAAGAAACGAGCTCCAACTTTTTTACTACTGAGCTGAGAAAATTTTTCCTCTGGCTTTAACAGAACAATTATATTTCATTGTTAATACTAAGATTATTTATTATTATAATATTATAAAATGCATGGAAGAACATTTATTTAGAAGCAATAAAACAAATCAACTTGTAGCCCTAGGGCGTGATGTATGTAACTAATTTATTTATTGGGTATTCAATAAATACAACAATTATTTATAAAGTTACTGTAGCTTATAAGTAGGAATATCAAATATAAAAAAGACGTTCCTGAGTATGCAATTTTGAAGTGAATTGCGAGCCAGTGGTTGTCTGGTTCTTACCTTACCATATCAACGTTATTATTAAATTTCTCATTCATGAAGGCTTAGAGCGAGCGATAATTATTCAAAGAATTATCCCAAAGTTTGGGGAACAAACAATGTCTTGGGCTCAACTGCCCAGCATAAGAAGTTCAAGTAAAATTAGTAACATGAACGTTGGTGTCATGTCAGCATTAAGGAAGAGAATACTCTCGCAATTTATGACATTTTTGAAGGTGGTGTCTGACTGTAACCAAAATGGGAAATATCAAAAATGAAAAAAGACCTAGGGTTATGTAAAGTGTGCCAGATGCTCGCCTTTTAACATCAGAACACAAGTAGAGATGTTTGCAGCTGCTAGGAGCTAGGAGCTTTCAGGCTGCTTTACCAAAGAAAAGGATTTAAAAAACAAATATATTGTTATCTGCAATGAACTTGGATGCTTCATTACACACCTGAGTCTAAAGAAGTCAGTAAAAAGTGGCTTTCCCCATAAAACCCAAGTTTCAGCTCTCTCTCTCTCTCCCTTTTTTTATTATTTTGTTTTTTAAATTTTTTTACTGGCATACTGATTTCTTGCATGAGCATCTCAGCAATAAATGTTGTTTATTATTGAACCATTTTGAGTAAGGGAAAAACTGCTTTTCGTTAAATTAATGTATGCATGTTATATATAAATTTTATAAAAATGAAGTTTCGTTTATATTTGATTTACCCTTGTACATTAATATTCTTAATGGAATATATTAATTATTTGATAATATAACTTACTGAAGGAAATTTACATAGATGATTGCTGTAAACATCATAAATATCAACAACGCCATGGCTAAATCCAACCGCAATCATCAAATTATCTGGGCTCCAGCACATCTTCCGTAGCTGTGGAAGACTATCTTTACGGACTATAAAATTTATTTAAAAAATCAACGAACGGTTAAAATATGTACAGTACATAAAACTTTTTAGCATAATAATTAATTATATGGGATATGATAATATTACTATATCAAGTAGAAATAGGACAACTTATATCATTGTGTCAGTTGGATTAATTTAAAGTAATTTTACAAATTTACCTCCTGTTCTGCCAACTGCCACCATGAATTCATCTTTGGCTGTTCGTATTTCCAAAGTGCTGTCTTGTAAAATGGCAACCAACGTGCCATCATGGCTCAAAGAAATTTGCCAAGGGAGTTGTAAATAAATATGACTGTAAAAAAATGATATAAATTATTATTATTATTAATTATTGTCAATCCCATATTTTCAATGGAATAATTATTACATTAATCCATATATGTATTTAGTAGTCCTAATCAACCTTATTAATTATTTAAATTAATTATACTTTTTATCTATGGTCTTGGTTGAGATGGAGGAGCCAGTGTCACCATTGGGATTCAAACCCACGGCCATTGGTTGGTTCGGATCCCCCTCGTGACACTAACTTCTCCATCTCAACCAAAACTTTAGATAACAAGTATAATTAATTTAAATATTAATTATAGCATTTATTTAATTATTACAATCCCAAGTTCAGATTTGAACCCAATTGAACACATTTGGGACCAACTTAAGTGAAGAGTATGACCATGAAATCCAGGTTCTAAACCTTTAGTCGAATTGGAAATGGCTGTTATTGATGAATGGTAAATAATTCCTCAAGATTTTAACCTAAATCATTTCCAAGGAATGCAAAGGGCATGATTCGAGCCAGAATTGGCAATATTGATAGATAAAAATTTTTTTTGTGCAAATTTTTATTTGTTTTTGAATATTTTTAAACTCAATTTTTTTAGAAACAGGCAATAAACATTTTATTATTAAATGTATTATTTTTACAACCGAACCTATTATTGGTATGCAAAATATGAATAAACCTAAATACATTAAAATTTAAGGGTGGTGCGTTAATTCTGTGCATCATTGTGTGTAAATAGTTGTAAATAGATAATTTATCTTTAATTTACATGTTGTAATCAGAAAATTTGCAGATTGTAATAAAATCTTGCTTTAATAAATTTGACAAAAAAAAAAATTATAGGAAGAGGAGGCACTATTGAAAAGCCCTCTCCGAGCCTTCCCGATGGACGTTTTGGTAGAGATAGCACAGCAGACTCCTGAAGAGACTGACATGGACTCACAGAATGACGCTGTTTCTAGATATGATGGAGCTGAAATGACCATAACAAAATAGGCTCAAGAGAGCTCGCCCACAAAAGACCAGATAAGGCTTCACAAATACCAAGAAGCTACACATGGCATAGAGGAGGGAATGGGGAATGGAGAAGCCTCCTGGGCATTTGGAGAAAAAGACAGTCAAAATGGGGGAATCCTCTGGAAAAGGCCTTATTCAGGCAAACTTCATAGAGGCCTGTAATGATAAAAGACTAAGCATGTCCCTTTAGAGTAACCCTAAAAGCTCCTGGCTGTGAGCAGTTAGATGCCATTCATGAGTGTTTGGTAAGGAAAATATAGGAGGTTGGAGAAAATACAAAACCAGCAGGTTAATTTATAAAAAAGGATGGCTGGCCATAAACGTTGATGAAGCCGTAGAGGCATGGGAGGCTCCAAAAGAAGCTCAGGGTGTTAGCCAAGTGTGGTAGAAGAAAAGGAAACCAATGAGAATATCCTCGAATTCCTAAAAAAGAAAAAATCTTCCCCTACAGGCCTGGAAATTTATTAAGAGGAAAGAGAAGGGAACTGTGGTTATTGACCATGAGATCATGATTGTTTTTTAGTTAAAAAGCTTACTTGTAAAAAGCTTTGGAAGGCCATTCTATGTTGCTTTTAAAGTAACCAAATAGACTTGAAGGCAGTTGAGAAGTCGTTTTCTCGTGTTTCTGCAAGAAAAACAAATTTTTTTAGGCACATGTACAACGGGCTGATATGAACGCACAATTACCAAATTATCTTGTTCTTGTTTCCATTCTGTGTAGACGAATAATTCAAAGAGGGTCCTTTCGTGCAATTCCCCGCCCTCCGGCATTTCTAGAAAATTTGTATGCTTCTAATTTAAAAAAAAGTTATATTTTTTCAAACGGACCAGAGTTGTGAGTGTTAAGGTTTTGACAGCAACAACAAAAACAACGTTGAGGTAACCCGATGATAAACATCCCGTGGCGTAAACACTATGCTGACTCATCAAGGAATGTGACATCATTGACAGTCTGTTGTAATTCACCAAAATATGAGTAATACAAAATAAGCGAAATAGCATAATTTGTATTAATAATATTAATTTTATTTTTGGTACCATCAGTTTGTTGCTTCATGCTTCAATTTGATCTTTTAATCTGTCTTATATTTTGTTATTTATGTTATTTGTACAAATAAGGCTTAAAGCCCCCTTGCATATCTTTAAAATAAATTGAGTTTACCAACATAATACTATACACACTAACAGGCAAAAAATTCCACCCGCTTATAATATAACTTGATTTGTATATATTTTTATATAATAATTAGAGTTTCACTTTTTTAAACTTTAATAATTGAGTCTTTGTTAAAAAAGTTAAAAAAAATGTAAATTGCTAAGGAAAATAAAATAAAGACGGACAGATAAAATTTGTTTTAATTTTGTTATAGATTTTTAATTAACATTTCAATATCCTCCTTTTGCCTTAATTTCATCCGAAGATGCCTCGGCATACTTTTTACCAGTCAGGAAATGTCTCTTTGCTGGTGGTTAGCCCATTCTTCACGAAGAGACCTTTCAAGATTGCGGAGTGTATCAGGAAGAGATGGACGTGCTCTCATTCGTCTTTTGAGGTTATCCCATAAATGTTCGATGGGGTTCAAGTCTGGAGAACGGGCTGGCCAGGCTAAGACCCTGATGTTATGCTGTTGAAGGTACGTTTGTACTATGCGAATGGACGGGCATTATCGTGCACTAGAATAGGATTGTCGCTGATTTCATCTAGGAGAGGCAAAACATGATTTCATCCACATAGCGAGTGGCCGTCAAAGACCCTTCGCTAACAACAGCCAACTCCTTGTGCCTCTCCATTGAGATTCCCGCCCGCATTGAAAAGGTTGGCTTTGGGAAAAATTACAAGCTTCGTACCTTTCATTTCGCCTTCTCTACACTCTTTCACGCCCATCTGGAGATCGTAGAGCAAATCTCCACTCATCAATCACTCAAATGTACAGCAGACCAATCGTCCAAAAATCAATGGCTGTGTTCTCGAGCAAATGCGAGCCAGGAAGCGACCTTTCAAGATGGTGGAGTGTATCAGGAAGTGATGGACGTGCTCTCATTCGTCTTTTGAGATTATCCCAAAACTGTCCGATGGGGTTCAAGTCTGGAGAATGGTCTGGCCAGGCTAAGACCCTGATGTTAGGCTGTGGAAGGTACGTTTGTACTATGCGATCGACGGCAATGTGGACGGGCATTATCGTGCATTAGAAGAGGATTGTCACTGATTTCATCGAGGAGAGGCAAAGCATGATGTTTCAAAATTTCATCGACATAGCGAGTGGCCGTCAAAAACCCTCCACGAACAACAACCAACTCTGTGCGACTCTCCATTGAGATTCTCGCCCAAACCATCACTGAGCTATTACGTTGAAAAGGGAAAAATTACAGGCATCGTACCTTTCATTTCGCCTTCTTCACACTTTTTCACTCTCAGCTGGAGATTGTAGAGCAAATCTACAGTCATCTGCAAAAAGTGCAGCAGAGCAATCGTCCAAAGACCAATGGCTGTGTTCTCGAGCAAATGGGAGACGTACAACTCTGTGTTCTGGTCAATTCTGGTCCTCTTACGGGGCGAAAAGCCATCAGCCCATACTGATTTAATATTCTTCGCCTTCAGAAATATAGACACATCGAATTTCCTGGAGCTGATGAATCGCTTGAACAACAGTAAGGTGCCGGTTTCGCAAAATTCTCAAAGTCAAAAAACGGTCATCCTGTGGTTCTGTTACACTAGGCGTCCAGAACAGGGCCTTCTACGGTAGGACTCAGTTTCTCGAAAACGTCTAACGGCATCTCGCAGAATTTCGTAGGGAACTCCGATGGCAATATCCTCATACCTGATAGAACGTCCATTATCAATAAGTGCCACACCACGCGCAACATCCTCAGCGCTAAGTGGCATTTTTAAATTTAAAAATTGAAATTAAGACTAAAATAAACCGTTATTGCTTCAGAATTCAAATGAGACTGAATAAACATTTTAATTTCCGTAAAAAGTAAACATTGAAAAATCCTTTATCCTTGTTTTGATTTAAGGATTAAGTGTGTTTAACTCTAATTGATATTCCCAATTTAAAACATAGCATAAACAAATATTTATTAGTTAAAACAATAAGACAAATTGAGGGCAGAATTTTCTTTTATCAAGAGAATAAAAAAAATCAATTGGGTGGAATTTTCTTACCTGCCAGTGTATTTACATATATTTTGCCTGCCCATAAAACTTGGGCCCAATAATAGCAGTAATAATAATAAAACATATTATAACAAAATAGAAGAGAAAGGTTGCTCGGTGTGTCCCATATAATAAAAGCTTTTACGCCTTGGCTCTTATATAGAGCGTGTAGGCATGCTGCTAAATTTAAGAATGGTTCTCGAGCACATTAGGGAGTTTCTGGATACACTGTTCCACTTTTTGGAGGACGTGGTTTTTTATTGTATACCTAATAGCCTTTTTTATGTGTTTTGTTTGAGTGTGTGTATTTATTATTGTGAGTAATGAGGGGCTGATGGTGAAATATAGCGTCACCATCGCCCCTCCCGCAATGTGTTTGGGGCCAGTGGCGGAATATTTATGAAAGTACCCCATTGACCCTAATTTAGATTAAATTATTAATATTGTGTGTAGGTCGATGGAGGAATATCGAGTACTAGACAGACTAATCAGAATGGTACAATACATAGGTGTAAATGTATTTATTTGTGCGACTGTGTTATAGTGTGTTAGTTTTAGGCTAGATGGCCTAGAATCCATCCAATGACCTAGATGTTCAAAGCCCTTTTGGTTGGTGGTGATTACCTCCAAGGCATCTTACTTAAGGGAGATACTAGCGCCCCAGCTCCATAACGCAGTGAACTCCCCTGAGGTATAGTATACTCTTGGGCCAGCAAATGGGGGAGTGACAACCCTTAGAGTGAAAGTCCAATAAGTTCTATTAATAGAACTAATTAATTAATTCTTAACTAATTAATTCTATATTAACTAAGAATTAACTAATTAATTCTTAATTTAAATTTACCCTTTTAAATTTCTAATTAACCTCTCTTAACTTCAAATTAACCTTTCCAAGTTCAAATTCAGCCCTTTTACTTGTCATTTTACCTTTTAATTTAAAAACGTTAATTGAACGGAAAAACTATATAGAGGAGTTTTCTAGCTATAAGCGGCCCATGGACGATCAATATTATTGCACAATATTTTGGGTTGTGCAATTTAATTGATCGTGTGTAGACGATATTGAACGTTTGTGCAATACATTGCATGATTGACGAAAAGTTGAAAATATATTGTACAACCTGGAAAATATTGCAACGTCTGTTGGCATTATTGCGCAATATCAGTCAGTTTGTGAAGTACAACAAGTAGTAACCAAATATTGCACAAACTTCAATATCGCTTTCAAACTATTCAAGTTCATTGCACAAAAAAATTTTGTACAATATTATTGAACGTTAAGGGGCAACCGTCAAATTATTGTGCAATCTATATTGTACAATAATATTGACCGTCTATGGGCCGCTTTATGTATGTACATATATTACCTGTATTACATATTATGTATGTCATGTATTATATTTTACATGTATATATGTATATAAGCATACATGTATATATATTTATGTATATATATGCNCTAAAATAGAGAAAACATAATCGGGATATAAGTAACAAGTTAGGTAATGTTAAAGTTTATTTGTACTTTTTTACATGTTATGTATATATGAATATATGTGTGAGTGTATATGTATAAATGTATATATATGTGTGTATATGTATATAATGACCTGAACCGGATAAGGAATAAATTTAAAAAGCAAACTAAATTAATTTTAACAAACTTGGGCCCCAGGCATAAGCCAAAGAAACGAAAAATGAGAAAGAGAAAAGGACTCACCTTAGTTATAGTCATAAAAAATAATATTAATGCTCACGACCAGTCAGCGTAGGCGAGGTAGGGTTCGCGTATCAGCATGAAAAATAATTACAAATGTGTGTATGTATATATGTGTATATGTATATATGTACATATGTGTGTATATGTATATATGTATATTGTATATATATGTATATTGTATATATATGTGTATATGTATGCATATGTATATATATGTATACGTTTGTATATGTATATATGTATATGTATGTATATGTCTATACATGTGTGTATATGTATATATGTGTGTATATGTCTGTATATGTACATATGTATATATGTGTATATGTCTATATATGTATATATGTATGTGTGTATATGTAAAAACGGTTAATTAGAAATTGAAAAGGGCTAATTTGGAATTTGAAAAAGTTAATTTGAAGTTAATACATAATACATATGTATATTTATACATGTGTGTGCCCTTTTCAATTTCTAATTAACCGTTTTTAACTTCAAATTAACTTTTTCAAATTCCAAATTAGCCCTTTTCAATTTCTAATTAACTGTTTTTAACTTCAAATTAACTTTTTCAAATTCCAAATTAGCCCTTTTCAATTTCTAAGTAACTGTTTTTATCTTCAAACTAACCTTTTTAAATTACAAATTAAAAGTATTTAAAATTGAATTTTTTAAATTATTGCTTGCCTAGTAGTGGAATAATCTGCTGCCAAATAGGCACCTGTAGCATGGATAGACAGGTGCACAGCAGAGTAAAGAACATCTTAAAGCTTGTCTTTTGAGTGTCCTATCCACTCTAAAGAAAAATAATGCGATTTAATCTTATCAAAGCACATTCACAAGCTGGAGAAAAGTGTAGCTATACAGAAACTCCTTTGTAAACGAAAATAAAGCCATGAAAAGAGGAAGAAACTGCAGGCTGCCCTAAATACCCTGGTCTTTCGAGAAAGAGAGAGAGCTTAAAAGTGAAATAAAATAGACGAGAAGTATAGCATGC